GTTGAAGAGAGCCTCGTTCTGGGCGTCCGTGTTGGTGTTGCTGCCGACGGTGTAGTCCTCTGCGCAAGGAACGAAGTCAGCTTGACATATTCGGGAGAAGGTTCTAGAACGCTACGACGTCCTTGGGCGCTTCGCAACACCAGGGAATCGACTCACGGCAGTATGCGCCTTCACCTCCGCAAGTTCCGCTGGTCGTCGGGTTGCCAAGCGGATCGGTGCAGTAGAGGTAGCCCAAGCAGTTCGAGTCGGACCTGCAACGGTCCGTAAATCCGCCAACGCTGTCGAAAGTGACTCTCGGTATGTCGGCAAATACCTTCGCATCTCCCAGGAGATGCCAGAGACGAGATAGTAAGCGCACCAGGTACCCGTCGTCCCGCTCAAGATCCCGCAGTACCCATTGTCGCAGTTCGCGTCCGAGGTGCAAGTAGCGCCGACGATACCGCAGAAGTATGCGCCGGTGGTCGGTTCCACCACGCACTGCGAACCGGTCGGAGGCGGGTGGTCGCCTTGGTAGATCGACGTCGGGTCGTTCGTGCCGGGCGCGATGAGGTTCGCGTCGGCGCATTGGGTCTGGTCTGCGAGTGAACGAATGAATGCATTAGCTGAAGAGCTGGATGCGAAGGAGCGGGGAAAACGGGACGAACCAGGCGAGAAGGTCCCGTCACCATTGACGTTGGTGCAGGGGAAGCGACCGAAGCCCTGGATGGACTGGGCCACAGCGAGCGACGCGAAGGAAGCGATTGAGGCAGCGGCGAAGACGGTGCGCATGTTGATCGAGGACGAGGAGGGAGGACGGAGGGGGTACAAACGGCAATGCCGGGTTCCGGAGCGCGTTGAATGAGTGACAAGGCCGGCTTGGAGGAAGAGAGAAAGAGCAGTTGAGTCTAAGTTATGTAGCTGAGGAGGAGAGAGAAAGAGCGAAGGGCACGCTAACAATTAGACGCGGCCAGGCGCGGCGGACTCGTCGGCTCCGGAGCGTGCGATCGCGTTGTAACGAGCTGGGTGATCACTGTAGGTGCAGTCAACTGCAGCTGCAGTTCTCGTGCGATGGATAGCGGCCAGAGTTAAGTAGCAGGCAAGCGAGAGACGGCAGCGATGTCGAGCGAGGGTTCGCACATCCGCGAAGAGGCGACTGACACAGCATACCGGCTCTGTGGGCCAGCAGACTTCGTCCACCGCGTAGCACGACGTTGTACACATCTCTGACTCCACGCCCACCGCGCCCTAGCGCTGTATCGCGAAGAACGAGGCGATGGAGCGTTGGCGGGTGAGGAGGAAGAAGAGAGCGCGCCGTCGCCTCCGGCCGCCTCGCTGTTCGCGGCAGCAGTACAAACAGTCCAGCAACATTCTACACGGGCAGCCAGAGACTCTCAGAGCGCCTGTGTGAGGGTGTCGGTGTGAGACGGCGATGAAGCCGGGGAGGGTGAGCTCGAGCTGGCGGGGCTCGCTCGCTGTCGCCTCGTTCACCGCAAAGACACGCGCAGCGATGGACGTGACGGGCATCCTCGAGCAGTCCAGCCAGCGACAGTGCGTGTCCCGTCCGAACGGGCTCACGGGACCCTGTTGACGCCGCGCCACACCTCCGTTCGCAGGAAGGCCATCGCCGTCGAGCGTGAGATCCCCGTCGACATCGACCTGGGCTTGCTTGCAGTCTTTGACCCCAACCCTATCGACCTCGACACTTACCAGTGCGTCCAGCTCCCCGCCCTCGCTCGTTTCCCTCCCGAACTCACCTCTCTCGCGGAACAGGAACGACAAGGAGCGCGCTCTGCTCGACCATGCGCGAGACGGCATCCAGCTCCTCGTCAACGACATCTGGAGCCAGCCCACCCGCGTCGTCGACGACGGAGTGATCGCAGACTTGCCGCCCATCTCGACCGCCCTTCCTCGCGAGAAGCCCGTCCGTCTCCTCTCCCTTCCTTGTTCTGGGCAGGCTCGTGCTGACCTTGAGAACGTGTGCCAGCTGCCGAAACCCGCTGCGATGACCAAGTGGCAGGCGTTCGCCAAAGCCAAGGGCATCGCGCCCAAGGCCAAGAAGGACAAGATGGTCTACGACGAGGAGAAGCAGGAGTGGGTGCCGCGGTGGGGCTTCAAGGGGAAGAACAGGGATGCGGAGGGACAGTGGTTGCACGAGGTCAAGCCTACCGCCGGTGCGTTTGCGAGACTCGCTTCATCTCGGTTCGCTAGACCCGGTCTTTGCGAGACGGATTGCTGATGGATGGATCTCGTTGCACAGACACCGACTTCGACCCTCGCGCCGCCGCCCGCTCCGAACGCAAAGCCCGCTGGCTCAAGAACGAATCTCAGCGCCTCGCGAACCTACAACGCGCAGCCGCGAACGCAGCGAAGCAGACGCAGCAGTCGGCGACGAAGCAGACTGAGCGCGAGAAGCGCAAGGGCGAGTTGGAACGCACGTTGAGGAGTACGAAGCGGAGTACGGCGAGTTTGGGACGGTTTGACGACAAGTTGCAGGGTGAGGGGAGGGAGAAGAACGTCAAGCGCAAGGTGCGTCACAGTTTCGGCCTTCCTCATAGTCTGGCGCTGATGAGGCTCTGTACAGTTCGACGCAAACGAAGTCTCGTCGTCTGCGGAACGGAACAAGGCCCTCTCGATCCTCTCGTCCATCGGCGCGACGCCCTCGAACAAGCGCGCCAAGGTCTCCGACGACGCTCCCAACGCTCGCCAGCAGACCAAGGGTCTTGTCAACGAGCGCAAGGCGATCAAGAGCTTGACGGGTGGGCGGGGAGTCGTCGGGATGGACAAGAGGGGCGGCAAGGGAGGCAAGAGGGGCGGGAGGAAGTGAGCTGGCGGTTCGGGGCTGGCTGTCGTGTGCTTCCTTTTCTCGTTTGTTGTAATCCTTAGCTGCATTGCGCATCCCTAGAATAACTTCCTGCGAGAAAACGAGTTTGTATCGAGTCGAATACAAGGGAGTTGTAATCAGCTGAATACAAATCGCTCATCGTTGCTCTTCGCACCTCCACACGCATCAGCTGTCACGATGAGCTACGGCGCATACGGTGCACCGCAGTCGCGCTCCAAGGTCGTCTTCGGTGCGTCTTCAGCGCCGCCAGACCCGCGCGACGACACCGCTCACCCTCATCTCGACTCGCTCGCTCGCAGTTGGCAACCTGCCGTTCGACTACACTGAGGAGCAGTTCATCGATGTGCGTAGCCTCAACAAAACCCTGCGCTTACGCTGAGCTGACCGCGCTTCCTGCCGAGCAGGTGTTCTCCTCTGTTGGCCCCGTCGTCTCGTTCCGGTTCGCTCGCTCGACCTCTTTTGCGCACTATGCGTTCCAAGCTGACTTTGACCACGCCCACAGTCTCGTTTTCGACCACGCAACCGGCAAACCCAAAGGTTTCGGTTTCTGCGAGTACCGCGACGCCGACACCGCCGCCTCTGCCATCCGCAACCTCCAGGGTGTCGAAGTTGGCGGACGCGGCTTGAGGCTCGACTTTGCGGACACGGAGGATGCACCGCCTAGCAAGCGATTCAGGGGTGGAGCGGGAGGGCCGCCGGGAGGAATGGGTGGTCCGCCTGGAGGAGGAGGAGGAGGATATGGAGGAGCCTATGGCGGCGGCGGCGGTGGTGGTGGATACGGCTCAATGCCTCCTGCTGGTCCACCACTCGGCGGCGCGCCAGGCGCAGGCGTGCCTATCCCTCCGCCTGGCAGGGAAGGCGGAATCGTCGTGGGCCCGCCGGCAGGAGGTTATAACATCCCTCCGCCTGTCCCCGGTGCGACGGGACCGCGACCGCTCCCTGTGGGGGTTCCTGTCGAGTCGGGCAAGTCGGCGACGGACAAGATCACCGAGACGATTGGAACGATGGCGCCTGGACAGCTGCTCGACATTATGAGCCAGATGAAGGTGCGTTGCGCCTGCTGAACGAAGCAGTCCATCCTGGTACGAAACGGACCTCTGCTGATCGGTCTCTTTCGGTTGTCTCACACAGGCTCTCGTTACCGCCAGCCCTTACGAAGCTCGTGCGCTGCTCACGGCGCAACCGCAGCTCTCGTACGCCCTCTTTCAGGCAATGCTCTGCATGGGCATCGTCGACCCTGCCATTCTACAAGTAAGTCGCTCCTGAACCCGGCACCCTTGATCCCTGGCTGACTCGTCCCGCCTCGCAGAAAACGTTCCCTGGCGCCGCAGGCACTTCTGCACCTCCCCCTCCCGCACCTTCCGCCTACCCTCCCGTCGCACCCGCTCCCGCACCCTCCTCATACGGCGGCTACAACGCCCCTCCCCCCTCCGCACCCTCCTACGCAACTCCGCCTCACCAACCGTCTTCGTACCCTGCGCCCGGCGCACTGCCCGCTAGCTACTCCCGCCCTCCTCCCGCGTCGTACAACGGTCCCTCCGGCGGCGCACCGCCTCCTCAGCCCGCCTCGTACACCGGCTACCCGCAGTCCACTGGCCAGCCGAAGGCGAGCTACAACGGACCGAGCGGCGCGTCCCAGCAGGCTCCTCCTCCCCCGCCAGCTGCTGCTGCGTCAGGTGCAGGGGCGAGTGCCGACCAAGCAGCTGTAGGCTTTGTCTCGCTGACGCCTTCGAGAGAGGACGAAACTGACCTTTTACCCGTCGGTCTCGCAGCTCATCCAGCAGGTCCTGTCGATGACCGATGCGCAGATCGCTGCGCTCGACGAGACGAGCCGCAATACGATCTTGCAGATTGTAAGTCGTCGCTTCGCTTCTACATTCTCGCGCTGGTTCCGCTCTCAACGAGACTCGCCGAGCGCCCGCTGACGACCTCTCTCGACCACAGCGGCAACAAGCGCAGCGGGCGATGGGGCGGTAGAATTTAGGCTTCAGACCAGCTCAGCTGGCTTGCAATCATCTGTCGAAGCTCGAACAACGGAAATGCGAAACACTGCGATGCGAGAAATGTTGCTTGCTATGCGATACAACGAGTTCTATTCTACGTGTGCAATAGTCTACGGGATGCCCGCCAATCCGCGCCGCGCCAAAGCCTCCATGACATCCCCAAGCCCCTCGAGCTGTCCCTGCACGACGATCGTCGGCCGCCCGTTCTTCCGTCGGTCTGAGAGGATGGGCGAAGCGGAAGGACGCAGGATGCGGTTCGCGACCCGGAAGACGTCTGTCAAGGTGACGCGGTCGATGAGTTCCGCCATTTCGCGCATCGAGACCTTGCGACCTTGCGCCTGGACTTGACGCTGCAAGCGCAGGGAGGCCAGCGGTCAGCACTGAAAAGCGAGAGAGCAAGGAGAGATACCGTGACGCACGCCGAGATCCTCGACCTGCACCATCTTACTCTCGAGCGCCATCGCCAAGCTACTCTTGAGCTGATTCCGCGCCCTCCGCAGCTCAGCCTCCCCAATCCCGTTCGACATCGGTCGTGTGATGCTGTCGAGTTGCTGCGCAATCAATGCGGCTGTGCGCGAGAGGAATGAAGGGTGGACAGAGATGGTGATGCCGAAGAGGCCCGTGTCGAGGTAGCAGTGGTGGAAGGCGGAGCAGAAGTCGACGGCATGGTATTGGTTGAGGACGTGGGTGTAGAGGCGGGAGTACATGCCCTTACCCGGGCCGCCTACAAGGAGAACCTCGTGAGCGGGCGAGGAGAACGAGCGAAAGACTCGCACGCACCTGCTGAGAAGGATCCTCCGCCGCCGAGCAAGGTCTGCAACGTCGCCGCGGCGTAGATGTCGGGGTCACTGAGTGCGAGGCTCTCGTACCCGACGTAGACGTGGGTGAACTCGAGATCCGGCTTCTCAAGCAAGAGGGTGCCGCCCGTATACCGTGCGTGAGCGGCTGAGAGGTATTCGAAGGAGTCTTCGGGTACGGCGATGGAAGACTCGGCGGACGTGCCGGAAGCGGTAGCGGGAGTAGAGGAGGATGCGGAGTGGTCGAGGACGGGCGAGTTGTAGGCGAGTGCCGTGGACGTAGCCGGGTGTAGGGAGGGTGCCGGGGTGGCTACAGGCTCGAGGTGGCCGAAGTGCTCGGCTGCGAGTTCGACGAGCTGGTCGTGCTCGACTCCGGCCGCTGCCACTACGAGACGGTCTGGTCGGTACCACGTCTTGCGGTAATCGCGCAGCGTGTCGACCGTCATCGCTTCGAGATGCTCTTCAGGGCATAGCAGGGGGTTGCCGAGCGTGTTGCCCTGGAACGCCGTCTCGTGCAGCAGCTCAGGGAGGATCGACTCCGGCTTGTTCATGACCTCGCCGACTTCCCACAATGCCGCTGCCCGCTGGGCCTCGAGCTCTTCTGCCTGGATGCGCGGGTTGAGGACGGTATCGGCAAGGATGTCGAGGGCGGCAGGCAATGCGTGTGTATAGGTCGAAGCTTGGTAGAAGATGGAATCCCGCGACGACGAGGCGAGGAATGAGCCGCCGAGCTGCTCGATTTCGGTCGTCATCTCCTCAAGAGTCCGCTTCGTCGTGCTCTGTGAAACCCTCCGCGATTCAGTACGGGCTCTCTTCAAGAGATCCCGAGGAAGCGTTCTCGCGACTTACCTTGTAGGCGAGTCGGTCCGTCATGTGCGCCGCTCCTCTCGTCCGATCACTCTCGTACCTGCTGCCCGCATCGACGTACACTCCCGCCGCAACAAAGTGACCAGGCGTGAAGTCGGAAGCGATTCGAACGCCGTTCGGCAACGTCGTCAGCTTGAGTTCGGGGTCGAGTTCGGAAGGCGAAATAGTTGTTGCCGTTGCTGCTGCTTGTTTGAGGCCGGGCACGGATGTTCGGAGCGCCGGGAGCCGTCGTACGGCGGTAGAGAGCATGGCCGGCGCTGAGGGGCGGCGGAGAAGTGCGGCGGCGGTACGGGAGAAGGCGGCGCGGCTGTGGTCGACTACAAAGACCTGTTCAGAGCTGTGCCAATCCTCAAAGCGGCAGCCAGTGCCAGGTGAAGCGGGAGAGTGAGGGCGAAGGCGAGGCGAGACGATGGCGGCACCTCTTCAGACTGCTGAAGGAGTTGATGGACCGTACAGGTCTCTGATGTATCGTCAAAAGACTTTCTAAACAGCTGGAGACACCCTTTGAGCGAGTTGAGCGCGAGTCGTCCTCCTCGTCGGCTGCTTCGACTTCGCCCGCTCGCTCGTCTTCCGCTCCGCTCGTTCTGTCGCTTGCTGGGACTCCTCAGGCGCTGCCAGGTAAGCCACGACGCCTCTCGCCTTGCCCCGCCATCCTCTGGTCACTCTGTTCGCGCGACACAGCTCGCTCTCCCCTTCATCAGTTTGCGCGCGGCGACAAAGGCCATCGCTGACGAGCAGTGCCTTCCAACAGCGCATAGTACCCTCGACATGTCCTTCCGAACACTTCTTGCCCCACTGCGCGCCTTCGCCCGGCCAGCAGCGGCGTCCTGCACCTGCACTCCCCTCTTTGCCTCGACCCTTCCCTCTCTTCGGACACTCCCTTCTCTCCGATTCGCTTCGACCCAGGCCGAGCAGTCCCTGCCGAGTCAGGTTGATCTGTCGGAGTTGGCGCAGGTTGAGACGAGGCCGCCGCGGAGGAAGGGTCCCCCGCCCAAGCCGGCGCCCAACTCGAAATGGACATTGCCGAGGGGCCTCGAGCTCGAGGGCACGGTCATTCGATCGGGCAAGATGGCCAAGACCTGCACTGTGTCGGTCGAGCGGAAGGTGACGGACCACAAGACGCTCAAGGTGCGTCGAGACGCTCTGGCCTTTTCGAGTCGAGGAGATGCTCGTCCTGCAGATTGTCGCTGACTCTTTGCATTGCAGGTCTTTACGCGGCACAGCAAGTTCCTCGTCCACGACCCGAACACGGAGCTCGTTGACGGCGATGTGGTCCTGGTGCGCTTCCGTCACAGTTCCTCCCTGTCCAGCAGTCTCCTGCTTACCGGTACCGACTTTCTTCGTATACGCTAGATCCGAAGCTGCCGCAAGGTCTCTACCCGGAAACACTTCGAGTTTGTGTCGCTCATCAAGGGTTCGGACGCGCGCCAGTCGGTCCTCACTAGCGAGTCGACGGACGTCGCGGAATTGGCGCAGGAGAAGGCCGAGGAGTTGGCAGCTGAGCTCGAGGAGAAGCCGGCGGCAAAGAAGGAATCGGTAGAGACTGAGGCGAAGACTGCCTAGCAGGAGGGAAGTCGGAGCGCAGGGGATCTGGAGCGCGGGCTTGGAGGTGCGGACTGAAGTGGAGACGGAGTGCATCAACAGCAATGTATCGATACCCGCATGCGTATCGGACGCTATCTGTTGACGTTCGAGACGGAGCAGCGAGCGGAAAGCAACTCAGCCGTTCCTCATCCGGCTACAGCTCCTAAGCGGATCTTGCTATCGCGGACGTCGTTGTTCGACGCTTTGAACAGCGTGAACAGCCTGCGAGCCAGCAAACAGCTGTTCATGTCCTCAAGCACTCGCCCTCCTCCTCACCTCCCTCTCCTTCAGCTCCTCGCGTCTTCGTCTCGCCTTTTGACGACTCCGCTACTGCCTTCTTCCGCCAGCCGGCGACGCACAGAGACGTCCCACTTCGCAACAGCCTTTTGTGCGCCAGCGAGACCCCGCTCAGTCCTCCTCGACTTCATCGCTCCATCGACCTGCCTCGCACCTCCCTCCTCGTCCTTCTACGCTTCGCGACCGCACTGTGGCTGGCAGGCGACCCTCTGCACCCTGCTGCTTCCCCTAGCGCGCCTTGCGATGTCCTGCCCGCGCTGCGACCACTCAACGACGCCCGTCGCTTCCTCCAGACGAGCAGCGACCGAACACGATAAGCTGAAGCTGCCGATGGCGAAGGAGTATACTGGAGCGTATCGGTAGAGCAGCGAAGGGTGCACATGCACGCAGGGGTCGGACTGGGGACAGCGGTCGAGGAGGATCAGTCCTGTCGGGACTTGTTGTACAATTACCGCGGTACCAGCGGATGGCAACCGAGCATGGGGGACAATGCATGCGTGTGCGCACATCGACGAGAGGCGGCGTCGGACGAGGACGAGGGCTCGAGGAGGACGAGCGCGCGGATTGCGGAAGAGCAGGTGCTGTCGCTGCTGCTGGGGCTCGCTCGACGGCCGCCAACGCACGCAGCGTCCCGCGAGGAAGCCAACTCTATCGGCGTGCCAGCGTGTGCTCATCACCCGCCCCGCCAGCTTCTTCGGACGCCGTCTTCCCCAGCGCGTTTCGTTGGCAACGATCGCTTCTGCAACCTCGTGTTTGAGCACTGGACGTCCGGGACACGTTCGGCAGGCCTGCGACGCCGCTTTGGCGACGGAAGGATCAGGAGCGGATGCTGCGAGATCGTTAATTCTCGCTCTCGCCGCTGCCGGCGCAGCATCAATGAGACCTGGCGGCCCGCACGACTCTGGCCGGACGAGCGCTGCTGCAGGAGGACGTCCGCATAGAAGCGGCATCGGCCGAGGCATGCGTATCTCGCCTCGGGACTGGTGTCGATGTAGGAAAGGCGCCGGCCAGAGGAGAGGGTCTCTTTCCGAAGCTGACCTCCCAACGCTCTGCCGGTCCTTCTTGCTGGGTCGAACCGTTCGGTGGAAGTAGACAGGTCATCCAACGACGGCAGATCAACCCCCGCCTCGACGCGTCGACAATGTGCTCCCGAGTGCATTCCTCGCGATCGAATGTTCTCCGGCCAAGCGTGCGATGCTGATACCGACGCGTCGCTAGCACAGGGGCCGGCCGCTCTTCCGAGTCGAGAGCGCACAACAGACCAGAACTCGAGCTCAAAACAAACGCGCGCGCCAAACGTACTTGGGCACCCTCATTCCTTCGCTCTCTCTCTCCCTCTTTCTCCTCACTCGACTTCGCTCGACTCACTGTTCTCGTGTCTCCAAGCCGACCTTCGTCACTCTTTCAAAACTTCACGACTCTCCGGATCTCTACCTCACGTTCATACCCCCATCTCCCCTCCCCGTCACTCAACATGCGCACCGTCTTCGCCGCCGCCTCCATCGCTTCGTTCGCGTCGCTCGCCGCCGCCCAGTCCATCCAGGGCTTCGGTCGCTTCCCCTGCACCGTCGTCAACGGTGACGGCACCTTCTCGCCCGGTTCGTCGCGTCCTTGTCTTCACATTCCTCGCCGTTTTCTCCCGCGACTGACGCGTCCTCCCGCTCGCTCACAGACCAGACCCAGTGCGCGGATGCCAACCTCATCGTCCCCGGCACCAACGACCCGACCTCGGTCTACCAGGGTGACCACCCCGCGCCTACTGGCTCGCAGTGCGTGATGGAGGCTGCCACTGGCGCCTACTTCTGCGGTATCGTCGGCGCTGCTTGCACGTCGAACGCCAACTGCGACAACGGTGTCTGCTCGTCCCAGGACGGCGTCACCCCCGGCACCTGGTACGTTCTTGTCTTGCGCTGTTCGTCGCTTCCGAGTCCGTCAGCACGCTCAACTGACTTGTTTGCTTCGCGGTGATCAGCCAGGGTGGCTTCTCCCAGGCCTGCGCCAACTCGGACGCCAACTGCTCGGGCTACCTCTACTGCACCGACCCTCTCGGCCAGCCGACGACCTCGGACACCTGCGGTGGCATTGGCGCCTACTGCCGTGAGTCAGCTTCCCCTTGGGCGTCGAGAAGCTTCGAACGTCCCCGAAGCCTGCCCCCGCCTCGATGCTAACTTTCGCGTCGCCCGCGCAGAGGACTACACCGTCGGAAGCAACACCAACACCGACGCCCAGAACGAGGCTCTCTTCAACCAGTTCTGCGAGTCGGGTGCGTCGAATCGTCGTTGTCGTTCCACGAAACCCGCCTGACCTTCCTCTCCTCGCAGGCTATTGCGCGTACCTCCCCGGAACCTGCGCCGTCCACGTCGGTCTCGGCCAGGACTGCTCGTTCGACCCCGAGTTCGCTTGCGACACCGGCCTCACCTGCAGCACCGACCCCGTCTCGGGCGCCCAGACCTGCACCATCGCGACCGGCTCGGCGCGCGCTCGCACTCGCGCTCGTCGCTCGGACCTCAAGGCCCGCCGCAACCTCTGCCCCGCCTCGCACTCGGCTTGCGCCATCCCGGGAGCCAAGGGCTTCGAGTGCATCGACACCTCGGTGCGTTCCATACCTCGCTCGACGTCTTCGAGCCGCTGCTGACTCTTCCCCTCGCACCCACAGTCGAACATTGAGCAGTGCGGTGCCTGCGCGTCGGAGGGCGGTGTTGACTGCACCCAGATCGAGGGCGTTGCCGCCGTCGGCTGCGTTGCCGGCGTTTGCGAGATCTGGTCGTGCGAGGACGGCTTCACCTACGACGCCGCCAAGGGTGCTTGCGTCGCCTAAGCGCTCCCTTCCTCATACCCCGCTTCACGCATTCTCCGTCCTCGCCGCCCTTGCCCTCGGGAGAGCTAGCTCCTCGAGGGGTCGTTCGCCTTTCCATACCCCTCGTTGACGCGCCCCGCCCAGCTCTCGGTTCTCCTCCTCGTCCCTGTTGCGGAGTACTTATTTTGCCATCTCGTTGCTTAGACTCTCCCCTCTCTCTGACGCTGTAGGACGGACTTTTCCCCTTTCTCTGTAACTGCCTTTGGATCTTTGGACTCCCTGGCTGGTGAAACGACCACGACACGACCCCGTTTACTTTCTTTCGTTCTCTCGCTACCATTGCTTGCTCTGGCGATTCCCTCGCTGTCGCTTGACTTATTCAGGCGATGGTCCGCTTGCGAAGGTCGACTTGCTGAAGGACGGGTTGTCTGCTGGGAGCTCGCGCACTCCAAGGCAATGCCTATGTATCGTACGCGATGCAGCAACCACAAGCCATCTACGTGCAGCCGCCAGCCGCCCTCTCAATACTTCCCTTCCTCGAGGTCGGTTCCACCACTCGCCATCCGCTGGTTCGGCACCTCCCGCATCTCGTACTCCTTCTTCGAAGTGTACGCGCCAGCCCACTTGCCCTTCTGCATCTTCTTCTCGACCTTTTCCTTCCACGCCCCCTCGTTGACGTCGAACATCCGCTCGAGGTCGAAGCCGAAGTACAAGGCAGCGAGGACGACTTCGGGGACGCATGAGAAGATGTAGAAGCCGGCTTTCGCGCCGTGCGAGATGAGCGAGACGGGGTTGAGCGTGATGATGAGCTTGTAGACTGAGGGAACGATCTGAGGGAGAGCCTGCGTCAGAAAGAGCGAGAAGACGGCAAGAGCGAGAGGGAACGCACCAAGCACGCCGCGCAGCCGATGAGGAAGTAGACCGGAGCCATCGGAAGCCCATTTTTCGCCGAGACGACGATTGCGATGATGGGCGAGAGAATGGAGATGAAGAGCGTGATGCCGATGATTCCGTAGCTGCGAGGCAAGCGGGTCAGCTCAGAACAGAAGGCAGAAAGCTCGACGAGACGCACCGGTAGTGCTTGAGCGAGTCGACCTTGCTCGGGTCCGTCATGGCGGCGCTCGTCTGGGAACCCGACTGGACCGCCGACAAGTCAGCTCTTGCAGTCTCGCCAAACGCGACGATCGCGACTCACAACGCATCCGAGGACGATGGCGATGATCAAGGCGACTCGAAGGAGGGTGAGAAGGCGGTTTAGCATCGTCTTGCGCTCCTTTGGTCCGTCCGCGGGCGAGGGCGTCCAGTACCGGCGGACGTGGAAGCGGAGGAGCGAGATGAGCGGCTCGCAGAGGGGGATGAGGCCGATCAGCAAGAGGACCTGCGAGGGTGAGGGTCAGAAGAGGAAGCGCGCGAGAGGACGAGCCTACTCACCTGCTCCGTGATGAAAAGGCTCGTCGCATAGTTGCCGTTCGCTTCGAGCGCTCGAATGACGAACGTGGCGATGCGAATGACGATCACGACAGCCGGGCGGATGAGGACAGCAATGCGAGTGCGGCGGACAGCGAAGCGCCAAACGAGGAGAGGGGTCAGGAGCGCCCAGGCGGCGAGGAAGATGATGGAGCTGCGTCGCATCGAACGTCAGCCTGGCCTGAGGAGTAAAAGGAGCGCAGGGAACTCACGCTGCGAGGTCAGGGTTCTTGAGAGGAACTCCGCCAACGAGGCTGAATCCAGTGGGAAGGGCTTGGGAGAGGGCGGCAGACATGGCGGTGGTCGCTTGTGTAGGTGAGAAGAAGAGCAGGAGAGAGCTCGACGCCTCAAATAAGCCTGTTCGCTCGCTCCATTACTCGCTTCGAGCGCGAGCGAACAACGCTCCGAGACATGGCGAGCAGGCGAACGAGCGCGCGAACCACCGTGGGAGCGGGCGTGGGGTGTACAGGCGGTCCATTGAAGGCATCAGAAATAGCGTCACAGTTATTTCGGGCGGTGGCAAGGTCGTGAGCGTGCGTTCGTCGAAGCAGGCGGCGAGGAGGAGAAGGGGAGGGCTTCGACAGCGACCACGGCCGTCTGAGCGCGAGTTGACTGGCTGAGCGTGTTCTGCGAGCTCGTAAGACTGCTTCACGCCTTGCACCGCTGTCCGCTTTGTCCCGCATCACCCTGTTCGCCCTTCATCAACACCTCGAAGCGATGGCGACTCCTCAACCCGACACACGCGCAGCGCAGCCAGTGCAGCCTGCAGAGGCCGTTCTGACGTCGAAATGGAGACGTGTAGAAGCCATGCCGGCGCGCGAGATGCTCGTCGAGCTCGAGACGGACGAGGGAGAAGGTCCGGACGACTGGGAGCAGGACGAGGTGGGCTCAACCACTCTCGTTGGGGCTTTCAGGACGCCGAACGTCTCGACTGATTTGATCTCCGTGGCCTGGCAGGTCGAGTACCTCACCCTCGAGTTTGGGACCCATCTTCCCGCCGACCTCCTCGCGGAACACAACGAAGTTCAGCTGCTCGTGAGTCGCCCTCCCCGGTCCTCCCACTGGACTGTCGTCTCACTGACCAAGCACTCCGCAGGCTCCTGAATCTCTTACCCCGTTCGCTCGCGTTGGACACAAGTACTTCCAGGGGACCCATCAGACCTTGATCGGCAACGACATCTTGTTCCTTCACGAGCGTACGTCCTTACTCGTGGTCGCATCGGCGACCCGCAGCTGACGTTTCAGCGCGCGCAGCCGATGCCGAGCCGTCGTACCGCCCTTTCACGACCTCTTCCTACCGCATCAACTTCCAGCCCGTGATTGTCGAGCACGACGCGGATAAGCCGGCGAAGGACGGTGCCGCCCGCCTCAAGGGCAAGGGTCGCGCGAGCGAACCTGCACCTACGCTGGACGAGCATGGTCAGCCTGTCAAGCGCAGGTGCGTTTCTTGACTTCGCTGCCATCGTCGACTCGAAGCCACTGGCTGACTCTGATCTTGTCTCGCAGGCCCGGTCGCCCGAAAGGTAGCAAAAACAAGCCCAAACCTCCGCCGACTGAGGGGTCGCCTGCACCGGCGCCTCGCAAACGTCGACCCAGGACTTCGGCGATCCAGGCTGTCTCGCTTCTCACTGGTCAGCCAGTTGATCCGAAAGATGAGGGACGCACGAAGGGCAAGGCGAAGAAGAAGGTTGTCGTGCAGGCGGAGAAGGGAAAGGAGAAAGCGGTCGAAGAGGAGCCTGAGGCAGGGCCGGCACACGGAGCGGAAGGTGAGGGAGAGGCCGATGCAGGCGGCGAGCTGGCAGCAGAAGCAGGACCGTCTGCGGTGCGCCGTGCTGCTGGAGCGCCGCCCGAGCAGAGAATCGGAGGACCGTCGGAGAACCCGCCTGACCAGGCGATGGACGAGTAGCTCGCGGCAGACAGCCGAGAGACGTAGGGTTTTACGCTTGTTGTCACAGTATCTGCACAGTTTGGAAGACGAGTCCGACGACATGTTGCGTTATGCTCAAGAATGGACAACAAGGCTAGGGCCAAAGGAAGAGAAACAACGACAGCGATTTTCTACAACTTGTTCCGACTGCTCACAGCTTCCCACCGCGCCAGCTCATCATGCGGATGCCCTCGAGCTTCAGCTTGACATCCTTCAGCACCTTCGTCTGCGGCTTCCAGGTCTGCACGCAGGATCAGAGTCAGTCGGCATCGTTGAGTCGAACAAATATGGCACCACGCACCTCATACGCCTCGCGCAATGCTACCAACTCGTTGCTGAACAGCTCTCGCACCTGCGGATCCTCGATGATGCCTCTCAGCGCCCAGGTCAGGAGGTACGGGTTTCGTCGGTCGCGCGGGTTGAACGACATCGAGAGCGGCGGCGGAGTAGTTCGAGTGTCGAGATGGGTCGGCGGCTCGGTCAGATGCGTCGTCTCGAAGTGGTAGCGAACGGCGAGTCTGTCGGGACAGGCGGTTAGACAAGCGAAGCGACCGCGGAGGACTCGCTCGACTCACTTGTACACGTCCTCTTCCTCATAGATCTTGCTGTGCCCAACACCCGTCAGAGCGCCTGCGAGCGCCTCACTGACGTGGTAAACGAGGTCGTGGTCCGACAAGCCGGCATTTCGCAGCCGAATTGCAAAGACGATGAGGTTGGCGAGGAAGTCGGATGTGCGGAAGGCGTCCGAATCGATGTAGACGGCGCGAAGGATGGCAGGATGCGAGACGCCGGAGAACAGGGCCGAGTAGAGCGGGACGACTTGGTCATTGAGCGAGCCGACGACGGTGAGCTTGACGCCCGCGTTCAGGATGATGCGCAGGCTGCCGAGTGAAGGGTTAGTCGGCCTGTGACAGGAGAGCGTGGAGCACGGCCGACTGACCTGTCGATGAACTTGATGGCCGGTACAGACTCGGCGTCCTGGAAGGCAAAAAGCTCGCGGGCGGGTGCCGACTCGAGGTAGTTGAAGTAGGGCGCAAGGGCGATCGACTGGTAGAGGTACATGACTGGCGGATGAAGCGTCAGCAGAAGGCGAGCGGGACGGAGTGAAGCATCGTTACGCACAAGGTCCTTGAGCGATGCCACACATAGCCAGGCTGCGCGAGGGCGGAGCGTCAGAATCAAATCGCGAGTAAGAGTGCACGGAGCACGCACAGATGCGTCTGCGTGCCGGTGATGAGGCCTTGGTCGAGCATCCTCGCCAAGAGTTGCGTAGAGACGACGCTTCCTTGCGAGTGCGTCGCAACGAAGACAGCGTCTGCCATCTTGATCGCCTTGAGCCACTCTTCGCGGCCGACGAGTTGGCTGTACAGCTTGTTGACGCGGTAATCGACTTCACCTTGACCCTCGAGGGCAATCGCCTGGATATTGAAGGACGAGACGTCGTGCGATTCGAGATACGAGTGGACGGCGTCGTGCATCATGGTTGCGAATTTGACGCTGCGAGGAGACGTATTCAGTCAGCGCGGAGAGCAGCAATAGGCCACGGCTTATCCCACCTCGTTCCAGTCTGCTCGCCCATGAGCGACTTGATCCTGCGGTCGGTGACAAATGTCAGCGAACGAAGCGTTGAATCTGTGTGAGAGCGAGCGCACATGTTGTTCGACGTGAACCAGCCGTGCACGCCAATCGTCACGACGCGCTTGACCTTGCCAAGCCTCGGTCCCTCGCTAATGACGTCCAGCGACTTGGGTAGCCTTTCTGCCGGGTCGTCCCGCATCTCCGTCAGCATGCCAGTCGGGTTGAACCCCGCCGCCTGCTGCGCCTGGACGAGTCGAGGACTCGTCGACTCCTCCGTAGGCGGGCGGTGGAAGAAGTAGCTGCTGACGACGCTGACGGCGCGAGTGAGAGTCGATTTCTTTGGCGCAAAGGAGCGAGGAGGGCGGAGGAAGGTGTCATTGAAGGTCGGGAGGACGAGATTCTCGACGGGAGGAGGCGCTTCGAAGGCGGATGATGGTCGCTGGCGAGGCGACGAGCGAATAGAGCCGGTGAGCGGCTTGACCGGTCCTTGGTCGGACTGCGCTCGAAGCTGAGGCGACGATGGTGCAGTGTCGGGGGCGTTGTGCGACGAGGTTCTCGAGCGGGTAGACGCGGCGGAGGAGGGGGAGATGCCGAGCCCGCCGAGCGGCGCTCGTAAAGACAGCATCGACTTGGTGGGCGAGGTGCCGGTAGGAACGGAAGTCGCGGAGGCAGGCGTGCGGGAGAAGATACTCCACGAGCCCGACGGTTTGTGCTTGAGAGGCTGAGAGGGAGTTGGCGTAGGCGTCGGCGTCTCGTCATTCGTCGCCGGCGTGACAGTTGCTGTGCGCTCGTCACTGCTTGGCGCCATCTCCTCGTCCTCCGGTACAGCCTCGATAAGCTTGTTAGCGTTGCGCTGAGATGCGAGCTTGAGCGCCCACAACTCCCGCCTTCGCTGCGCAGCAAGCTCCTCGGCAGACTGTCCCGCTCCGCCCCACCATCCGCTTAGCCAGCCGCGCTGCTCGGAAAAGGCAGCTGGCGTCTGCTGTTCGGATGTCGTCGCGACTGTGACTTCCGCAGATGGAGGCAGTTCCGTCTGCTCCTCCAAAGGTTCTGGCGCAGGCGGCGCAGGTGGCGGAGCTTCAGGCGCTAAAGCTTCGTCGCCGGTCTTCTGCGAGGGCGCGTCGGGAACAGAAGGAGTCGCTCGGCTCCAGCCGAACCATGACAGCCGCGAAACGGGCTGGTTGGTGGATCCTGCCGCCGCAATCTCGGTACCTAGATGGGTGACGGAAGCAAGGTGAGTGAAGAAACCTGATCGGAGGGAATGAGGGAAAGCACCTCGCTCGTTCGTCGTCAATGTAGCCGGCGCCTCCTCCGCCTCGACCTCGCGCGCCTCTTCCTCCTTCTGCGGCACATCAAGCTCCATCGGCCTCTCCTGCGTCGGTGTCGTTTCCGCATCGTCAACCTCCTGCTTCGCCGCCGCACCCGCCAAATCAGGCATGCTAGGTCTCCCGCGCGAGAGGAGGGAGAGCCAGCCTCGGTTTGCTTCGGGCTGGACGGACGAGGCGGGTAAAGTGGCTGCTGGAGCTGGATCAGCGGGAGGTACAGGATCGGAAGGTGCGAGCACGCGCGGAGGGTCATTCGAGGAGGCTGCACTGGGAGGGACGGGAGGAGGAGGAGGGTCGGCAGGGTTGCCGAACCAGCTGCGTCGCTTCGAGACGATACTGGCCGCGCTCGACACTGTCTCTGATGGAGAAGTCGACAGCGAGGCAGAGTCGGATGTCGAGGTGTCTTTCGGAGCGATGGAAGGGGGCTTCGAGGGGGAAGAGGGTGGTCGAAGGGTTGCGCTGGAGGTGGAAGTCTTGGGTCGAGGCCGAGACGAGACAGAGGAGATTGAAGGCGCGCGATTCGGTTTGCGCTTCATTGACGGCATCAAGTCGTCGGCGGAAGTCGTCGAGAGGGTCGGCTGCGAAGGCGAGACGATGTTGCCGGGGCTCGTCGAGTACGACCGGCTCGGGCGCGTAGAAGGGTTCGTAAAATCGGGCATGGGTGGTCGTAGCCGTTGCCGCTTAGCAGAAGCCGTCTCTGCCACGTCCTTCGCCTTACCCTTCCCTTTCTCGTCCGGCCCAGTCGTTTGCTCATCCACCTCCATCCGGTCGTCGTCATCCTCGCGAACCCCTCCTTGCGAACCCCTCATCGTCACCACCGAGCTGGCCGAGCTAGCCGCCCTGTTCCTACCTTTCGCCGTCCCCTCCCCCTTCCCACTCAGCGTCAAACTGCTACCCCTTGAGCTCAACCCGCTCCTCACGCTCATCCTGTCATCCTCATCATCCATCTCCGCCTTCTTTCTCGCAAGCAACGAGTAAGCAGAGCTCGAACTCGTGAGGGTTCGAGAGCCGATCGTGCCGGAAGCCGAGAGGCAGGAGGATGGCCGGCTCGTCGAGGGCGAGTGGGAGTGCGAGGGGCCCGCGAACAGCGAGTCGCGTGTTGGATGGTTGGGAGAGTCGGAGGAGATGGGTGGCGCTGGACGGGAGGGAGAGGTCCGCCAGGCTGTCATCGCGGGCGGCGAGGGCGAGGGGAGGCGGGCGGGATGAGCTGCGACAACCGGACAAGGGGAAGGGTCAGCTTGCGACGTCCACTGAATGCGTCCGACGGTGTCTTCTGTCCCTGAGAGCCCTCAGCCTCGTTACACCCTTCATCGCCGTTCCGAACGGCAACAACACGAACCCCTCTCGTCCTCCGCAACAAGCCGTCGCCGCGGCCGCTCGTTGTTGACCGCCAATTCACGGACTTGCTCCGTCTGCTAGCGCCACTCACCAGGTCAATACGTCGTGGTTCAGTCGTCCGAGAGATGAAGATGCAAGTGGGGCGGTTGGGATGATGTCGCGAGTCGCGCGGACAGCGGGAAGCGCAGCGTCGATGCCCTGTAGCGGTTCGGAGCGGTGCACTCGAGACCAAGAGCAGTCCAGCAGGCGAGCAGGCGTGACGAGGTGAAGACTGGCCGGCCAAGTTCAACTCCGACCAAGTCCTCGAAAGGGGGACGACCGCGCAAAAGACTTGCAATTGGCACAACGACATGCAAAGACACTGTACGAGGTCTAGTGAGAGATCTAAGCGAGCAGACGATGTATCCCCACGACGCAGCCGACCGCAGCGACGGCAATCGAGCCACAGACGACGCCCATCTCGAGGAGGAGGTCGCGCCATTCTTTGCGGACTGCGGCGCCGACGTGTGCGCCAAACTCGACGCCCTGCGACGAGACCCGCGACTCCGTCAGTAAGCGAAGGGGCGACGATGCGAAGGCCAGAAGAGGACGCACCGGTTCCTCCCCCTCGTCCTTCTGCAACTTCGACTCATGCCTGTCCGCCTCCCGCCACGCAAACACCGTCCTCCTCTCGCCCAATCCGAAAACTACCACGAGCTCAATAGCCCACCTGAACCACTTCTGCCTCCGGACTTCCCAGCTCTTGCCCCTCCATTCGCCCAGGAGCGGGATTCGCGCGTATGCCTGGCCGAACGCGAGCAGCGTCCATGCGCTCCACATCTCGAAGTCAACCGCGAGACGTTCGCGCCACTGGCTGTCCGGCAACGCGAGTTGGTCCGCCAACGAAGGGCCAAGGAAGAGTCGGCACAGCTCGACGTGGTGCTGGACTGTCGATGGTCGCGGCGGGCGGTTCGCAATTGACGAGAGGATCTTGTATTGCGGTGTGGCGTGCGGATCGGAGGGTGTTGCGCCAGAGGGGAAGATGCAGAATGCGAGGGAGGCGAAGTAGGTTTCGGCGGCTTCAAAGGTCGTGCCGTAGACTTTGAGAAGGAGCGAAGGCGAGATGCCGAGGTAGTAGCTGCAGAGAAGGAGTCAGCTCCAGGGAAAGCGCATGACAGGACGAGAGGCGCACCCAATATGCCGCCAGCAGACCTGGTACGCCGCTTCCTCGCGTGGAGTAACCTTGATACCGATTCGTCGAAGCGACCACATCGGTGCAACCATGAAGGCTCCGAGTACAGCAAGCAGATCTCTGGCGACCGGCCCAGGAATCAGCGACAAGTGTGCAAGATGCGAGAGAAGAAACGCACGCCTGGTTGATCGGCACGCCTGCTTCGGCCTCGTCGTACTGGTTGTGTCGGCCTTTGCCGTTTGCGATGCGTCGCCTGACTTGAGCGTGTAGCATCCGCACCCGGAACGCGCTGCGCCAGCCTCGCCCGGAACCGGTCGTCATGTCGGTCATGGCCTGCGAGAGGTGGAGAAGCAGGTGTGAGCCTGGCACAACCAGTAGAGGAGGAAGTGCGGGGAGAGCGCTCCCTCCACACTCGAAGCGCTGACACTCACATCAAGAACGAACAGACTCGTCTCCAACAACCGCTTGTGCGTCGCATCCCGCATGTCGGACGTCAAGTAGTTCGTCTCGCGCATGACGGACGCAAGTTTCGGCGCTGAGAAACCCCCGGCGAGCGAGAAGTGCGCGAGGGAGGAGTAGATTTGCGCGCTGTACTTCCAGAAAACGGCTTGTCCTTCGGCAAGAGTGGGCGGGGAGTCTCCTCGTGCCCCGAACGGCTCGAGAGGGGTTGAACGCTTGTCGTGCTTGCCGTCGCTGATTGAGCCGTACCCGTGTACGCCCTCAGGCGGATCCCTCGCCATTTCCTCCCACAATCGCCACACAGGGTCGTCCTCCCTTTCCTTCGTCCAGCTGTCGGCACCCTGCTCCTTCTCCCGCAAGTACTCCTCGATCGCAACAAGCGCATCCCGCCCCTTCCCCTTGACATTCGCCAACCCAAGCACGTCGACGACCTGATCCGCCAGCCCGTCGCTCTCCCTCCTAAGCGGCTCGATCTCGCTCGGCCTGAAACTGCTATCCCTGTCGTAGCGTGCGACAAAGTCAAAGTGGCGGAGGACTGAGCCGGGAGCGAGTGATTCGAGGATGGAACAAGGGTCGGGGTGCGAGGGTGGGAGGTGGATGGCGCCCTCGATTTCGGCGGGCGTGAGCGGTGCGCCTATGACGAGCAGTGGGTCTGGCCTGAGCAGCCCCATCACGAGCGAGTGAAGCGCACGAGGAAGAGAAGCGTCGCCGTCGTCGGCAGCGGGCGACGACTTCGCGATCGAAGCCACTTACCACCGCGGAGTTAGACGGCGGCGAGGCGAACGAGTGAAGTCGAGCAACTCCAGCAAGCAACGGCACGTTTAGACGGACTCGTCATGAAGTCGAAAGAGGACGAGGGCGGGAGGACGAGAAGGAAGCGACGACTTCTTGCGTCGGACCCCAAGTCCACCCGCTTGCACACGAAAGACTCGCTTGACTGGCCTCGCAACGTCGACGAGCCAACCTGTTACAATGCAGCATGCGAGCACAAACGAGCCGAATACCTCTTCTCAGTCGAACGTAACGCCCTGCGCGAGACCCAACTCGTCCGAGTAGTTGAGCGTGCACGACGACCACCTGCAGTAGCGCTTCCATGCGTCTCCGCCACTCTCGCGGCCCTGCAGAACGAGGGTCAGCTTCGAAGGAGGAAAGAGAGGTGAAGGAACGAACCCATCCACTCGACTTGTTCCCGCCAAAGGGCGCACCGATCTCTGCTCCGCTCGTCGACGAATTGACGTTGATGATACCCGAGTCGGCGCCGGCGGGGCCGATAACCTGCATCGCCGCGCCCAGGTCCTTCGTGAAAAGCGACGTCGACAGTCCTTGCTCGACCGAGTTGTTGAGCGCGATAGCCTCCTCGAGCGAGTCGAAAGTCGAGACGTAAAGGATCGGAGCAAAGGTCTCTTGCTTCATGATGGCGACCTGGTTGACGTCCTTGACGAGGACGATAGTCGGCTCGACCCAGTTCCCGCCCGCCAAATCGCCCTGCATCTCGACGACATTCCCACCGATCAGAACCTCGCCACCCTGCTCTTTGGCCGTCTTGACAGCCTGCTCGAAGCGCTTGACGCTGTCGCGCGTGTGCAGCGGCCCGACAAGCGTCTTGCCATCGAGCGGGTCGCCCATCCGCGACGGGCTAATCGACTTGTACGCCGCGGTGAGGGATGAGATGAAGTGCGACGCAATGGACGAGTGGAGGAACAGCCTGCGAGTTGAGGTACAGCGCTGGCCGGACGTGCCGAGCGCCGCAAAGGTGACTGCTCGAAGGGCGAGAGGAAGGTTCGCGTCCGGCAAGACGATGGCGGCGTTGTTCCCTCCGAGCTCGAGCAGGCTCTGACCGAACCGACTCGCCACTTTCATCGAGACGTCCCTCCCTCGCGCTTCGGATCCGGTAAAGCTGAGAAGGTCCACCCGCTTGTCCGTCACGAGCGCCTCGCCAGCCTCTCCTCCGCCGCAGACGAGGGCCGCCAAAGCACCATCGAGCTTGTTAGCCGCGAGGACCTCCTGGATGATCTTGATCGAGGCGATGGCGGTGAGTGGAGTCGTCGGCGCGGGTTTCCAAACGGTCGCGTTCCCGGTGATGAACGACAGCGAGAAGTTCCACCCGAAGACGGCGGAGGGAAAGTTGAAGGCTGTGATGACGCCGACGACGCCGAGAGGGTTCGCGACTTCGGTTATGAAGTGTCGACCGCGCTCGGAGGGGACGACTGTGCCGCCGATTGACCGGCTCAGTCCGACGGCGAGGTCCATCTCGTCGACAAACTCTTGCACTTCGCCGCGGCCCTCTGTGTGCGTGAGCCAAGTCAGCCCGAGGCTCACGAGAGCGGAAGAGCAAACTGACCAGACAGGACCTTGCCCATCTCGAGGCTGACGAGCTTGCCCAAATCCTCGATGCGCTCGTTCATCGCCACACGAATCTGCCTCAGCACCTCACCGCGCTTGGGAGCCGGCACAGTCCTCCAACTCTCGTACGCCCTCCTCGAAGCCCTCAAAACCTTGTGGACGTCCTCCTTCGAAGCCGTGCGCACCTCGGCCAGTACTTCTCCCGTCGCTGGGTTTGTCGAGCGTTGCAGTTCGCCTGAACCTGTCCAGCCCACGGCAGCGTCGTAGAAGACGCCATTTATCGGCTGTCCCGAGGTGGGGACGTCGAGCGAGGAGAGGACGGACGAGGCGCGCGAGGAGAGCGTACGTGAGTGAGCAAGCGGACGCGCGGCTGTGCAGAGAGCGGTGAAGCGCAGCATGATGGCGTTGGAGAAGAGAGAGGCGCGAGGTCGAGACGTCCCAAGCGAACCGAGGTGGGATCCCGTCCGCGTCACGTGACTTTGACCGCTTCCACTTGCTCGCAGACATCCTTGCAGCCTGCCAAACGTCAAATAACGTCGCCGTGAGCTTACTGTGCGTCGCTGCGAGGTCTGGGAGACGAGCGAGCGCCGTCGGTCTGTTTCCCAACCCCCTCCTCCTCGACTTCGCCTGGAGACGTCCCTCCGGCTCGACCACCTCGCCTCTGGTCTTCCTGCTTCACCGTACATCTGCTAACGACACTGCACACGTCTTCAAGCACAATCTGCGCGTTTGCAATGAGGCTCGTGCAGATCCCTCGCCCGGGCAGGAGAAGATCGTCGTCCGCCGTCGCTCGCACGCTTCCCGCGCAAACGACGCTTGTTCTCTTTCTCCTCACTGCTACAGTACTGCTGCTACCCGCTGAGCTTCCCGCACAGTGCGATGACGACGACTGCTGGCTGGCGCTTCTCCTCATCGACGGGGCCTCCTCCCTTCGGATGCCGACCAAAGGACCGCATCGAACGGTGAGACGAACGGTGCAGGGAGGCATGCGGGACCAGCGGCGGCAGAACGGGAGAACTGGGGCAGTGTTCACAGGATGAGCTGCTCGGACGGCGCACCCTCGCTTCGTTCGCAGGACGACGGCCGTCTCCTCGACCCTCGGCGCTGTGTGCGACGCTTTTCTTCGTCAGCAGCAGGTTGCGGTGCAAGTGCGGTGGTGGAGGTTAGGCACGCTGGAGCTCTCGCGGAATCTCGCGCACGGGGAAGAGTCCCGCGCCGTCCTCCGCACCGCGAGGCCACCTCTCGCGGCGTTCCCTCTGGCTCGGGACGACTTGCGCGATGGCATCGGCCGTCTCGTCGCCGAAGAACAGCCACGGTTTCGAGGTCGGACGCGACGCAGGGCGGTCAATTCAAAACGCTTCGTCGACCAGACGAGCCGAGCTCGAGAAGAGGCTTCATTTAACCCCAGCTTCGGAGGGACCGCTTCTTTTCCCTCTTTCCGCAGGAGCAGCACGCCGGCGTTTGTGATCGATGCGTGCGGAAACAGTTGCCAGACTCGTCGGTGCGGGCGCGAGCAAGCGGGTGGCGTGCCGAAGCGGTTCTTGCTTTCCTTTACTCTTCGTCGCCTGCCTCGTCCCGCTGGGCGTCGACGCGAACGACTTCCGCTTGCAGCAGCAAAGCTTTCCAGCTTCCGACTGTTACGCGGGCCGCCAGACACGGACCTCGCTCTTTGAGGGTCCCGCTTCTTGCAGGACTTGCGGGACGGGGTGGAGCCGGTCAAGGACGCGCGATCGCGGCGCATTCCCGCTGTCGAGTGCTTTGTGCGCTTTTCTTGACCGCGGCAAAGGTCGCTAGGACGCAAACGGAGCAGAGGTGGAGCAGTGGTGCTGCTTTTCGCACACTTCGACGGCACGCTCTTTCGTTCGTCTTCGCGAGCGTGCGCCTGCCTAGCTCGCGCTGCAGACGAGCGAGATGCCGTCTGGCGGTCTCGACGGGAACGGGCGACGCCGGTCGAGCACGTCGAGCTCTCGCCTCGGCGAGGGAACCGACTCGTCCTTCGCCTCTCCCATCTCTCGCCTCCCATTCGAGCTCGTCCATGCCATCGTCCGACTCGCCTCGACGCCCGACACGAAGCCCCAGCACGGCGGAACCGTCCGGTCGTGGCACTCATACGAAGCCGCAGCTCCCTTCGCCCTCGTCTGCAAGAGCTGGCGACAACCGGCGCAAGCCGTCTTGTACTCGTCCGTTGCGCTCGTAGGCGCTCGACGAGCTCGAAGGTTCGCCGACGCACTCGCTTCGAGCGAGACGGCCGCCCAACTCGCCCGCACGACGACCGCCTACCTCGTCCTAGGACTGGATCGGGACGTTGAGCATTCGCACGATGCGTCTCGCGGACAACTCGAGATATCCGAGCTCCTGACGGAGGCGGTGCAAGCGTGTCCCGCCGCCGTGCACCTACACATCCGACCTCTCCACCAAGACGTCCGAGCGCGTCTCTTACCTGCCGTCGTCGACCCAAAACGCGCGCTCGTCACATGTATCCTCAGTCCACGGATCATGGCGGCTGTACACTGGTCGGGCGAGTTGTGGCGGCTGGAGGACGCGGCTCGACTCGCGCCGACGTTGCAGAACCTCGAACAGACGGCTCTCATGGCGCCGCTCACTCCGCCCGACGAAGGCAACATCAGTCCGCCTCCGCCGACGTTTGGCGCGCTGTCGCTCCGGCGGGTGAAGGTGCACTACGGCTATCCGGCAACGGTCCTCGTCGCAGCCTTCTCGCAAAGTCCGGACATCGAGCTCCTCGACCTCTACTTCGAGTCTGCCAAGCCGGTCGACAAGATGCGCGAGGCGTTCGCAGCGTCGGCAAAGTCGTTGCGGCACGTGCGATACATCTGTGAGTCGCCCTACGTCCAGTCTCTCCGTGTCACTTTCGCAACTGACGGCTCTCGTCGCAGGCAACCCCGCCTCGCCTGATTCTGACAACGACACCGACTCGATCAACTCGGCCTCGGAAGACGGCGAACGCGCTCCGCTCTTCGACCTCGTCCTCCCCTCCCTCACGCGCCTCGAAACCCTCCGAGTCTCAGCAACCGAGATCTCTCACGCCGCGCTGCTCCACCTCCCGCTTACCTTGCGTCGACTCACGATAAAGTCCTACAACGTCGGCTCGCGCTTCACTCGGCCTGGACTTGTCGAGTTCCTCCAGCGAGACGACCTCGCCTTTCCAGACTCGTTCACCGACCTCGTCGTAGTCGACACGCCAGAGCAGTGGCACTCAGCTGCGGTAGCCGAGATCATGGACGAATGCGCGAAGCGAGGCGTGCGATTCGTCTTTCGCAACGATTTCGAGCAAGAGGGCGAGGATGAGAGCGGGACTGAGTTCTCGAGTCGCAAGTCGTTCGAGGAGGGCGGCATGGCGATGCCGGCGTCGTCGCAGTCGGTATGACGGTCAGGTTATATACACAGGCAGCGGGGATTTAGCAAGTAATAGCGGAGCATTCCGTGGGAAGTATGGGCAAACTCGCATCGCAGTCGCAACCTCTCGTTCGCAAACAGTTCCGCATCTGCACGATCTTCATGGAGAGTGACTGTATTCCGCAAGACCTCAGTATGTCACGCGCTCCCTCCGGTCGCAGGCGTAAAAGCCGGCGCTGCACTCGCATCGACTCCCAATCCCGCCTGATGCGCCGAAACCATCTGCGTCTGCCCAGTTGGTGCGTCTTCGACCTTCACACCCGCCGTCGGTGCAGGCGTCGGCGCTTGTTGAGGCCGAGCTGGCTGAGGCGGAAGAGCGGGGAGAGTCGGAGGGAAGAGCATCGGGGGTTGCGCGGGAGGGACGTGGGTTTGAGCGGGTGCTGATGCTCGAGGAGCTGGTGAAGGAGCTGCGCGAGGTTTGGAGCTGGGAAGAGGCGGGAGAGGGGAAGAGGCTGGAGGAGGGGAGGCGAGTTCGTCGATCTCGGCGGTACCGACGGCCGTCGCAAAGGCCGAGTAAGAGTCTGTCGAAGGTAAGAGTGAGCTACTGGTTCGACTCGCCTGGGCGGAAAGAGCCGACGCACCGCCCTGCCAGCTCGGAAGCAAGATTGTCGCTCCATCATACCGCTTGAACTCCATCTTCCCCTTGATCCACTTCCTCGGTCTCGGCGTGCCAATCTGGAGGGGCTGAGTCGCGAGAAACTGGTTGCCGAGCTTTGGAGGAGCGCCGACTCCGCCTGTACCGCCTGCGGCCGATGCGCGAGAAGGCGCGGGCGAGCCGGCGCCGCCGGGAGAGCTCGCGCCGGGAGTGCCAGCACCGTGTAGACCAGCCGCTGTCGAGAGGAGCGGCGATTCAGCTTGTACCTTCAGAGAGCCGAGTGAACGAAAGACGGACCGACAGCAGGATCCAGTCCCACGCCGGCAAGGTTGCTGCAGGATCCAGAGACAGCGTCAGCGCAAAGTCGTGGGCTAAAGACGGAGAGCACACACCCTTTCAAACCCTTTCGCCACGATTTCCTGCGCGAAAAGGCAACGGCTCAGCAAGTCCACCTCGAGAGGCAGCTGCTACACCTCGCCCGACGTCTCCGTTGGAGGAGCCACGCACCCTGGACCAGGCTCTCCAGGCTTCTTCGCAGCCGTCTTCTTCTTCTTTGGCTTTGGCTCGCCGTCCGGACCCTCTGCAGCCTTGTTCTTCTGCCCAGCGGCCTTCGCCTTCCCTTTTCCCTTCGCTGTTGCAGGCGTAGCGGCGCTGGGTGCCCCTGCGACTGCTGATGGAGTTGGCGGCGCTGCAGGCGAGGGAGAGATGCCGGAAGACGAGGACGATGCCAAGGGTGCTCCACCTGATGCGTCCGAGGCGACGGGCGGGATTGGCGGAGCTGCGGCGCCTGGTGTAGCGGAAGAGGTAGCCAACTGAGCCATCTGAGCCCCAGCAATCGCGGGATCAGCCATAGCGAGTGAGCAGTTCGTGTCGAAGCGAGTCGAGGAGGAGAAGGCGGCGACAACGCTGCGACAACAGCTTCTTGCGGCTGTCTGACAGGCTTAATGACGCTCGCACGAGTGCAGTATCCGTCTCTATTCGCGACCGGATCTCTCCAGCGAGTCTTGCAAGATGGACGATGCCCTCCAGGAGTACGGAGACTGCTCACATCTCCCACAGGCCTCCGAGCAAGGCTCGAGCGCGGCAGACTGGACAATACAAGCCTTTTGTATCAGCAGACATCACATTGGCCTCTACTGGTCGACGCCAGCGAGCGGTTGCCTGTCGAGGGACTTCGCGGCGAGCGGGTCTCGCTCAAGCCACGCTCTCGCTGCCTCTCTCCCGCTCGCCTGCTGCAAGCGGCCATCTCCACAGAGCTCCTTGACGAGCTCCAACCTCGACCAGCCCGATCGACCGGTCGCGCGACTTCGCTCGACCGCTCCCAAAAGTCCAGCTCGTCGACCGGATCTCGCCGTCAGTCTGTTCTCCTGGTTCGAGGGTTCGCTGGACAGCTTGGAGACGTGGAACGAGTGGACCGAGCGCTGGAGCGGGCGTGCGGGCGATGCGGACGGACTCGGGCGTCTGATGTTGGATTCGAGCGATGAGGAGGACTGGCGTGGGAACAGCATCGAGCGGAGCTGCAAAGAGGGCAGCAATGGTCCTGAACAGGACTGACAACCCGTATGCGCTCACGCAGGACCCGCCAGGATGTTGCAGCTTGCCCGCGCTGCCCGCGCTGCTCTCCCTCGACCCTCCCCTTCGCTTCTCCGACCCTTCTCCTCCACACCCATTCCTGCAGCCAAGCCGACGGGCAAGAAGTACCTCGACAAGAAAGGCAATGAGCGCCGACAGCTCGTCTTCATCGAGCGCGCCGGTTCTGCCACGTTCAAGCGTTACCTCCCTGTCACTCCTGGTCGTCGTCACCTGCGACAACCGCTTGCCGAGCACCTCCACAAGGGCGGTCCCTTCCGCCCACTGACGATCGGGAAGCGCGCGACCGGTGGACGGAATAACCATGGCAAGATCACGGTTCGTGGTCGCGGAGGAGGACACAAGCGTCGTCTCCGTCTCGTCGACTTCCACCGACGAGAAACGGGCGAGCAGGAGGTCGTTCGTATCGAGTACGACCCGGGACGGACAGCGCACATCGCTTTGCTCAAGCACAAGCAGACGGGCGCGATGAGCTACATCCTCGCGCCGGCCGAACTTCGCGCGGGCGACACGGTCCAGTCGTTCCGTTCGGGCATCCCCAAACATTTCCTCCTCGATCGGTCTGAGGAGGCGCTCATCAGCGGTGAGGTGCAACCGGAAGACCACGGCCTCGTCGACCCCGCTGCGCCTCAGAGCACCCGCGCGCCAACCGGTCCCGGCGGCATCCCCAAGCTCCCCGACATCCACGAGATCGACGTCACCACCCTGCGCGCCCAGGCTCTCAAGCCCGGCAACTGCCTCCCCGTGCGCCTCATCCCCGTCGGTACCGTCGTCCACAGCATCTCGCTCTCCAACACCGGCCCAGGCGTCATGGTCCGCTCGGCGGGTACAAGTGCTCGGATTGTCGCGCCCGCTGGGCCAGGCGGCAAGCATGTCCAGGTCAAGTTGAACTCGGGCGAGACTCGTTATGTCCCGCTTGACGGTGTCGCAACGGTCGGCTCGGTCAGCAACGCCGACTACCAGCACACGAACCTCGGAAAGGCCGGAAGGATGAGGTGGCTCGGTTTCCGTCCGGTACGTCTCGTCTCGTTGCTTTGGCTGAGACGCGGTTGCCCGTTCTTTCGGGCGCTTGCGCTTCTGTTGAACTGAACGAGCGATTGACCATTCTCGTGTACCACAGGTTACGCGCGGTACGGCGATGAACGCGACAGACCACCCGCACGGAGGTGGACGTGGAAAGTCGAAGGGTGGAAACCACCCGAGGGACAAGTGGAACGTGAGTCTGCGACGCCCTCCTTCCGGCCTCGCTCTTCGTCGCTCGTTCGAGTGCTGACGATGTACGCCCCCACAGAACGGCACGAAGGGGCAGCGGACTCGCCCGCCCAGCAGCAAGCGCGGCAACAAGCTCGTCGTGCACGAGCGCCCAGCGTACGGTCAGAAGAAGAGGCGCAGTCGCGGTTAGTTGGATGGCAGGGGTGTACTTTTCTCGCAACTCGCAGCGCTTTACTCGATGCAGCGGGAGTTTCGCGAGGGGAAAGAGCAGGCCAAGTCGTTGAAGACCGCTTCGTTTGCTTCCTCGCTCCGCTGGAGCACCCAAGTACTGCTTCTCGAGCCATTGCCGGAGCTGTCTGTTACTCAGCGCGAGTGTGTCGTCGGTTTGCTCCTTCCTCGAGCCAACACCGCCTCCTCTCGCTTTCGCTGCTTCCTCTCGCTCGTGCACCGCGTCGCAGGCTGCTTGACTCGTATTGCTGGCTTGATAGCGAGTCTGACTACCCGCTACCCACCACCTGCAGCCGCGCCGCCTTCCCAGCGTCCCGCACACTCCCCTCATCGTCCTGCGAGTCGGCACGACTCTCGTCACCCTCACCACACCGATAGACCCTGCACGATGCAGTCGAGGTACTCGCAGCACCCGCAACAACCGTCCTACGCCTCCCCATCCCGCTCCTCCTTCCAACAACCCTCCCACCCCTCGCCTTCGTCTCGCTTCACCCAACGCTCGACTCTCTCGTCTCGCTCGGGCGGCTCGGGCGGATCTGGAGGCAGTGGCGGGGCACAGAGCATGAGGAGTGACCGGACAGGCAGCAGCGGCGAGTACAACCGGAATGCGGACCCCGCAGAGCTCTTCGTCAGGCAGGAGCGAATTGGTAGGTGTGGGGACGTCCTTCTCCTCTTCCTTCGGGTGCTGAGCGATTCTCTTGCGCAGGCAAGGGATCCTTCGGCGAGGTATACAAAGGGTACTCGGTACGGACGGGGAAGGCTGTTGCGATCAAGGGTGCGCCCATCTCCTCAAGAGTTCCCTCCCGAGTCGCGTGACGGTGGTTCACGCTCTCGTCTACTTTTCTCGCGCAGTCATTGACCTTGAAGATGCCGAAGACGAGATCGAGGACATTCAGGTGCGCCGAAAATGTCAAGTCCTGCTGCTAGACGTCGTTAACCTCGCAACGCTTCCATTCCTCCAGTCCGAGATTTCCATCCTCTCCTCGCTCGACTCGCCCTTCGTGACCAAGTACGAAGGCTCCTGGCTACGCGGCACCGAGCTCTGGATCGTCATGGAATACCTCCAAGGCGGTTCGTGCGGAGACCTGCTGAAACCTGGCGTCTTCAAGGAGGACTATATCGCCATCATCTGCCGCGAGCTGCTCAAGGGCCTCGAGTATCTGCATGGCGAGGGGAAGTTGCACAGGGATATCAAGGGTGCGGATCGCTCGCCGAGTATTGTCGTGTTCGACGAGGCTGACGACGATTCTGTCTTCGCAGCTGCGAACGTCTTGCTGAGCGCTTCGGGTGACGGTGCGTAATCTATGCTCGTATTTGAGCCCGCTGGAGCTAAAGCTCTCGGTCCTCGCAGTCAAGCTCGCCGACTTCGGCGTCTCGGGTCAGCTTACCGCGACGATGACCAAGAAGAACACCGTGCGCGATCGCAAGCTCCTCCTGTTCTGCTTGAGCTGACCACCGTAAGGCCCGCAGTTCGTCGGCACGCCCTACTGGATGCCGCCCGAGGTAATCAAGCAGTCCGGGTACGACTCGAAGGCCGACATCTGGTCTCTCGGCATCACGGCGATCGAGATGGCCAAGGGCGAGCCGCCTTACGCTGAACTGCATCCCATGAAGGTGAGCGTCCCGAGATCTTGAATGGTTCGCGGCTTTCTTTGATTCGGCTGACTGACCCCTTTCTTTGCCGTGCCGTCTCGCAGGTCCTGTTCCTCATCCCCAAGAACCCTCCACCAACGCTCGACGACCCTCGCTTTTCAAAGCCGTTCCGAGAGTTCGTCTCGCTCTGCCTCCAACGCGACCCTCTCGCTCGTCCTTCCGCGAAAGACCTCCTCAAGCATCGCTTTATCAAGACGGCTAAGAAGACGAGTTATTTGACGGAGCTCATCGAGAGGTTGGCGAGGTGGAAGGCGGAGGGTGGGGAGGGCCAGCGGGATAAGGACAGGGAGGATGGGAGCGGGGAGAGCGAGAACGAGTGAGTCGAGTCGTGCACTGTCCTGTTCGGATTCGCAACTGAGCTCGATACGCGCGCAGGCTCATCCCGCAGCAGGACGAGCTGTGGGACTTTGGGACCGTCCGCCATGTCCACGCTCGTGCTGGCGGTCCCGCGACTCTCCGACGACAACAGCAGCAACAGCAGCGACAGCCCGCACCGCAACGCGCATACCCTCCTCAGCATTCTCAGCCCGCGCCCGCCGTCCGCAGCCACGACTACGCTTCGCGCCCTCCTCACCCCGCTGCCCAGCAGCACTCGTACGACACCGTCCGCGGCGTGCCTCCTTCCGCTTCTTCCGACGCCGCAGGCCCGACTTCGGCGCACTCAGAGTACGACGATTACTCTTCTGCTGCATCGTCGGCGGGCGGAGCGAGGGATCCGGAGGAGCGCGCCCGAGAAGCGCTTGATCGTGAGCGGGAGAGGTTGGAGGCACTCAGGTTGCAGGAGCAGCGGCAGGTGCAGGAGGCGAGACAGTCTCAGCAGTACGCGCACGGGCAGAACGGGGCGGCGGCGCAGGCGGCGCAGCCGCAGGAGGGAGCGGAGGACGAGGGAGGGATTATGGAGACGGTCGTCTTGCCTGTTCTCGACTCGGTGCGTGCTTGCGCACATGTGATCTCGTTCTGGTCGTTGCGTCAACGAATCTTGGCGAGACTCGTGCTGACGAGCAGGTCCCTGCAGATCCACGACCGCGTTACGAACCCTACCGCCCGCCAATCCATCCTTCGCTTCCGCGCCGCCATCGAGCAGATCGAGCGCGAGGTGCCTGGCTTGATCAACGTCTTTATCAGCGAGGTCGTCGACAGCGTCGAGGCGAGTTTGCGCAGTCTTGATTCTCGAGCTTTTGTGTCTTCCCTCGAGCTGACTCGTCCTGCTGCGACAGCCCGAGGCCGACGACTAGACCCACGAGTATTCCCTCTCCGCCACGCAAGCCCATGCACGACTTTGGACACGACCATCGCCTCCGTTCGAATTATCCCCTCGCTTTCTCGCATACCCAGTTCCTCGTTCCGACTTCTTCCGCATCTCCCGACTCCTGACACACCGTCACCGCCTGTAGACACTTGCATTTCGCCTCCAAGCAATGTCGTTCGCCCACCCCCCCTGATCCCGTTCGCTTCGCTCCGTGTTGAGCGACGGCAACGCTGCGGGAGCTCGCGCCGCTTGGACTGGATTCCCCTGGCGACTCTCTCTTGCCTGTGCATGCCCCTCGCGGCTCCACAGCGCGATACACGACGACAGCCAATCGCTCACCGCCGAGTTGCTCGTCGCCGGGCGTGCCGGGCGTTCACCGGACTCGTCTCGCTCGTTCTCGTCGCTCTCGCTCTCTTTGCGCTCGCCAGACTCTTGCTAAGCTCGAACACAATGTCCAAGGTGAGCCTTGCTTTCTCGCGGCCGCGGCGGGCGCTGGATGGATCGCGCGGAGGACCCCACATCCGGTTCATCTCGAACGAGGTTGAGGAGGGCGTCGCAGCGCTGGGAGGCCGTTTTGGAGTATGGCAGAGTTTCTGACCGGTCTATCGTGCAGGTCATCACCGCTGAGGAGGTCGCCAAGCACAACACAGCAGACTCGGCGTGGGTCATTGTCGAGGGCGGCGTCTACGATGTTACCGACTTTCTCGAGGACCACCCGGGTGCGTAGGACGCTCTTCAGTACATGCGTATGAGGCGGAAGGCCATGGGGAAGTCGTCGGAGGCCGCACGATATTGCGGAGCGCTTTCTCCCCTTGCTGACTTCCTTTCCCGCTTCCTCTCGCTCCAGGCGGCAAGAAGGTCCTCCTCAAGGCGTGCGGGCAGGACAGTACCGAGAAGTTCCACCAGTTTCATGGGGCGTCGGTGCTGAAGAAAACCGCGAAACCGTTCCTCATTGGCAAGGGTGCGTCCGTCCTCGCCCGTCTCGACGCCAGTCTTCGCGCTGAAGACGCCCCCTTGCGCAGTTGGCGAAGCCTCGAAGCTCTGAGCGACTGTAGACACCCAAGCGACGCTGTATTCGAACCAGGTCTTGAGCTGTTCCCGCGAAGAGGTCGCTCGACTTACTTCCCGGACTCCGCGTTCGCTCGGCTTTGTCCGCTAGCCGCTTGAGCTTCATATTACTGAGACGCTTGGTTGGCGGTGCGCACAAACCGACATTACGGGAAGACAGGAAGCCTTTCTATGAATCTACAGGATCACAAACTTTCGCCCTTGACACTCACTTCTTGCCCTTGCCGGTCACGTCCGCCCAGATGTGCCCGAAGATGGTCGCAAGGCTCTTGCGGTACTCCCAGATCGGGTAGATGCAAACGGCGAAGGCACCGTCTGTGTGGGAAGCGATTGTCAGCGGGGGAAGGTAGTTTGGGGAGGAGAGGAGCGACGCACAGAAGACCCAGATGAAGGCGATGACGACGTAGGTTGTGAAGCCGACTTTGGTCGAGATCCAGCCGGACGCGGCGAGCGGGACGGGGATGCTGCGATGCGGAAAGTCAGCTTCGAATCCGAGAGAGCATAGCGCGGCGACGCACAGGATCATCAGGATGACAAACATGCACGTGGCGACGATCGTCGCAAAACGGTGCGTCTTGCGCAAGTGCTCAGGCGTGTCGAGTTCGACGCCCTCGATGGACGGCGCCGCCGAGCGACCCTGGTCAGGCGAAACGACGCCCTTCTCGTTCTTCGAGTCGTCGTCGAGGCCTTCGACCGGCGACTCGGGGACGATCTCGGACGCTTCGGTGTGGGCGTGCAAGGCGCGAGTCTCGACCCAGTCGTAGTTCTCGGGCCAGATGAGCGAGCCGGTGAAGGCGATGATGGAGGCGATGCCGATGCTGCGGGTGATGCCAGATCAGCTTTGACGCCGATGAAGTGGCGGAGAGAGGTGACCCACGAGAGGACGTTGCCGGTGAGCATGGGGTAGTCCTGGAATGTCGTCTCCATGTTGACAGCCCCGTCGTTCAGGGTGGCGGCAGCGACGAGCCAGCCGATGATCTGCGCAAGGAAGAGTGGAGTTAGAGCAGTGTTACAGTGCAGGAAGTCCAGCTTGTGAGGAGGACGCGATGAGAGAGAATTGAGGGGGAGGGGAGGAAAGGCGGACTCACAGCTGCACAAGTACCGCCGATGGCGCCGAACGTGCACGCCCAGCGGTTTGCCTTGCGCCACATGATGGCCATGGCGATGGGAACGACGCCGGCACCGATGATAACGCCCATCACTGCGAAAGGAAGCGTTCGTCAGCGCGGGCTTGGGGGAGATGAAAAAAATAATACGCGCTCTCGTACAAAAACCCCATCCCGACGCCGACGGCATGGAAGATGCAGCCAGCTACCGCCATGACGAGGCACCAGATCACGATGCCAATGTGGTCGACGCGGAGGAGTTCCTTCTCGGAGGCGGTCGGTCGGATGTAGGGAAGGTAGATGTCGTACGTCATGACCGTAGAAGTGGCGCAGAGTTCAGCTGCGGTAGCCGAGGTGACGGCGAGGAAGAGCACGACGAGGAGTGCAGCGGCGCCGCCGGCTTTGAGGAGGGTCTGCGCAGCGGCGGCCGCGGGCAAGCCAGCAGAGACTTCGGCGGGAGTAAGGCCGATAGGGTAGTTCGGATAGCTCGGGTCGTACTTGAGGGCAACTGCCGACAAGCCGAGAGTAGCGGCCATTCCGAGCGGAATCCTGCGAAGGGATAGAACGAGATCAACGACGACCCGGCCTCTGCCGCAGGACACTCAAACTCACGAGAGCCATGCGCTACCGCCGAGCATGTATCCCTTCACGGCCGTGCTCGGTACACTGGCGATGGCGCGTCTGCGAGAGAGGGACACAGTGGGAGAAAGAGTAGCGGAGTTAGCAATCTGGCTACGGGTCGCGAATCCAGGAGCTCGTACGCACTGCCAGTCTATTGATGTCGCAGGCGTACGCGAAGGTGACGAACAGCGGAGCGAGCAGGACAAGTTTGGGAAGGTCAGCTTAAGATTCCGCGAGTGCTGATGGGCGACACTTGCAAGCTTGATCGTTGAAGACAGTCTGGAGAACAAGACGAGAAGCATGATGCGTCAGCCGCTGCGCCTATCGATGAGCAAAAGGCGGCAGACGCACTCCGAAGTTGCCGATCAAGTTGATGACCTGCACGTCGCAGCGCAAAGAAGGTGAGCATTCGTTCTGATCCCCTGAAATCGAAGACGAAGGACGCACCATGAACACCATGCCGGTCTTGGAGGAGAAGGTGAGGTACGATCCGTCCTTGTTACCGGTAACCGGCCAGTCTTGACCAGCCTGGACGAGCAAGTCGTACATCTTGCTCGGCGAGCCAATTTTGTCGTTCGTGACGAAGACCTCGAACATGAAGAGCAGGATGATGACGAAGAGAAAGAAGGTGTGGATGAAGTCCGCGAGGAGACTGCTTCGCAAACCGCCGACGAGAGTGTAGGCGCCGACGGGGAGCGGGATGAGCCAGCAAGCCGCCCAGGTACTCATGCCGGTGAGGTCGGTGACGGTCGCAGAGCCACCCTGCCAGAGCAGCTGTCAGTTTGCCTCGCTTCGGACCGACCGAGTGAACAAGGGAACGCACCGTGATCAGCATGGAGCTGACCAGGAAGGCGGTGGCGAAGGCGTAGAAGGTGAAGACGACGTGCGGGATGGTGCCCCAGCGTGCGCGGATGACCTCGAGGAATGTGTGAGCCTTGGGCGCGTTCATCTTGATCTGCGGGTCGAACGCAAGTCAGCAGCTGCATCTGGTAGCGAGTCCCACGGATCGCCGAGCGAGTGGAGAGGATGCATGTGAAGAGATTGGGAATCCGCAATTCGAGGCGAAGTCGGCGAGGAAGGGTGAATGGGGAAGGATTCCGCTCGCGCGAGTCTCCCGAGTCAAGCCTACCTTGGCAGCGTTGACGGCGAACATGAAGATCTGGACAGTCGCTCCAGCAGCGTAGGCGTACTGCACGCGCCATTTGGTGATCAGCTCGGATCCTTGTCCGTTCAGAACTGTAGCTCTAACGGGACGTACTGGTCCGCAAATTCCGACTTTGTAACCCATCGCCGAAGACTGGAGCAATGTTGCAGCCCTGCGAGGATGTCAGCAACCGTCGAAGGCGTCTGGGATGCGAAGGAGACTCACCAAGTCCACGACGAGACGATGGCACAAGCAATGAGGCCGGGCTTGACTGAGTGCGAGGCGGAGGCGAATTCAGAGATGCTGGTCATCTTCATGGGCGTGTACCGCGTCTGCAGCTTGGTGAGGCCGATCATGAGGAGCGTGAAGAAGCATCCGATTCCCAAGACGACGCCGTAGCCGACGCCTTGGCTGAGGATGGCTGTGCCGGGCATGGTGAGGGTGTCGATATGTCGGGGAACGAGCAGAGAGTGAAGAGAAGCGGGAGAGGAAGCAAGGAGGGAGCGATTGTCGAAGAGGGCGCGGACAGTCCCCCGCGATAGCCCCAGATTGTGCGAAAGCGGCGCCTTATCGTAGGAGGCCTTCCATCAGAATACTGCACCGCCGCTCCCCGCGATTTGCCGCTTCGCCAACCCTAAATCGCAGAGCGAAGGGGAACGAGGGCGGAAAAGGGCTTGTACTCGCCGCCTCACGCATTCGCGGGCTCTGCGGCGCCGTGTACCGGTCTCCGATAAGGACAAAGACGTGGCCGGTGGGCCCGAGCAGTCCCCGCGTCGCCCTCACCCTCAGCCTGTCCCTCCAGGTGATGAGAAATGCGAGCGAGTCCAGCGCAGCGAGAGCGGTCTGGCAAGCAGCGGCAGTTATCGTGTGCGGTGCGATTGAGGTTGTACAGCGCAATCGAGACATCGTAGCGCACTTCTCGAGCTGGAGTCGCGCGTTGCGAGCACCAGCGGGGCAAGCGGGCGAGCATGAAAGGTCGGCCGGCTCTTTCACCTCGCCGTCGCTTGCTTCGCGCTGAACGCCAGCATGCTACCTGTGCACGGGGAACAGTATGCTAGGCGACCGCTGTACGAGTCGCCCCGCCTCACTCGCTGCCTTGCGACCGTCTCCTCGTCGACTTCTGCTCGCGATAACAGTTGCGCAGGTTCACCGCGGCTAACTCGAGGTGCTCCAGATACGCTCGCTCGCTTTCTCGAACTGCACAGCGAAGGGCTCGATAACGGCGCTCCTTCAAACTGATCGCCCAGCCTTGCCGACGGCTTCTTCTCCACCTTTTCCTCTCCACCTCGACGATACCGCTGCTCGTCCTCCTTCTACACTATCGTACCAGCGCTAGCATACTCATTGTAGGATGGCGAAGCACCCCATGCTCATCCCCGTCGACCCGCTCAAGCCGGCCTCGAGCCAGCGCGGCCTCATGAACCGCTGGCACCCGGACATCCCTGCTTTCTGTACCGTCAAACCGGGAGAAGTCTTCAAGCTGGGCTGTCACGAGTGGACTGGTGGACAGATCAAGGTGCGCATCAAGCCGATTCGTTCCTCGCTTCCGCATCCCCAACTGAAGCTGCTTTTCGACTCGCAGAACTCGGACGACGCCGACGACGTCGCCAGCGTCGACCTGACCCAGATCCACTACTTGACGGGTCCTGTGGCTGTCGAGGGTGCCGAGCCGGGAGATGCGCTCGTGGTGGACCTCCTGGACATCACCTACTACGAGGAGATGCCTTGGGGCTACACCGGTGCGTCTGACGATTTCTCAGCGACCCTAGACGACTCCTGACCTCCAGGTCTCTCCCGCGTTTTCTCTCGCAGGCGTCTTCGAGGAAGCCGACGGCGGTCTCTTTGCGACCCAGTTCAAGTCTCGCGCCGCCAAAGCGATCTGGGACTTCGAAGGCCGCTTCTGTTCTTCCCGCCACATCCCCGGTGTACGCTTTGCCGGCACGACCCACCCGGGCATCATCGGTACCGCCCCGTCGCAAGCGCTGCTGGACAAGTGGAACAAGCGCGAGCAGGAGCTCATTGATCAGCACCCGGGCGCGTCGCCGGCTGTTGCGCTCCCGCCTGAGCCGAAGGGCGTGTATGTTGGGCAGGACTTGCCGAAGGAGAAACTCGAGAAGATTGCGAAGGAGGGAGCGAGGACGATTCCGGGTCGCGAGTGCGTTGCGCTTCTCTCGGGTTTTGCTGCCGTACCATGACTGACTGCTTCGCCCTCGGTCTTGACAGACACGGCGGTAACTGCGACAGTGCGTGACCAGCTCGATCAGCGCAGAATGCCTTGCTGACACTCCTGCTGTCGCAGTCAAGAACCTCTCCATCGGCTCACGAGTCTACCTTCCCGTCTACATCCCCGGCGCCAACCTCGCCATCGGCGACCTACACTTCTCGCAGGGCGACGGCGAGCTCTCCTTCTGCGGCGCAATCGAGATGGCCGGCGTCGTGACAATGAAGACGTCGCTCATCAAGGGCGGAGTCGAGAAACTCGCTTTGACGCAACCGATCTTTCAGCCGTCGCCTATCGACCCGATGTATGCGCAAGAGGTCGTCTTTGAGGGCATCGGCGTGGACATCCACGGTGACGGGTCGCAGAAGTCGATGTGCGCGACGACGGCTTTCAAGCAGGCGGCGCTCAACACCATGGCCTGTGCGTTCAAAGTCCTTCCGCATTGCTCAGAACTCTTGCTCACGCTTTCTTTGCGCGCAGACCTTAAGAAGCTCGGCTACACCATCGAGCAGGCGCATCTTCTCCTCTCTGCAGCTGTATGTCCTACCACCTCGTCTCATGCCATCTGTTACCGGCCCATACTGACGACAGAGTCTCTATAGCCCTGCCAATCCCACGTCGGCGCCATCGTCGACGTCCCGAACGCCTGCGTGACCATGTCACTCCCGACGCAAATCTTCGACCGCGACATCACACCGAACGGCATGGGCCCGGACGGCTTCGAGAAGCGCGACTACGGGCAGTGCGCGATCCGCTCGGACGGACAGCGCAGCGTAGACATCTTTGACAAGAAGTGAAACGGGACTTTTGTGTGCATGTCGAGGTTGAGAAGGTGGCCGACGTCGTTCGTTCTTGCTCATGAACTCGGCTTGGGGCCGTGTGAGCCTTTGTCGTGGCTCCTGCGTTGCTGCTAAGCCGTCAGGAAGTGCGGGAAGCTGTTGTCGCCGGCCTCGAAAGATTCGTTCCTGGACCAACTCGAGCAAGAGAGGGGCGGCCTCTCCTCCTCGCTCTCCCACCACCGCTCCCGCTCGTTCTACGCCAGGATGTCGCCCATTGACACGTACAGCACACCGTCAGTCCGCACACGCACCCGCCGGCCTTCTCCACGCTTCAAACGAGCTGATCCTTGACTCTCCCCATCCTCATCACGACAACCTCGACGACCCCGGTCTGCCCATGCCGCCTTGATGCTCGCCCGACAGTCTCTCCTCGCGCTATGCGTCCAAGGAGATGAGCAAGCTCTTCTCGCCCGCCGTGCGTCCCTCTCATCTCCTGACCCCCGCTGAGCTCAGCCGAAGCAGGTTGGCGGACGGGTAGGAGCACGGATTGAGGTAGACTGACACGAGATCGTTCGCACAGACCCGCTTTGGCACCTGGCGCAAGCTCTGGCTCAGCCTTGCGACGGCGGAGAAGCAACTTGGCCTCAGCATCCCCGACGAGGCTATCGAGCAGATGAAGGCGAACCTGGTGCGTTCCTGCGATTTTGCAGTGTCGCGGGAAATAGCCAGAATCCTGCTTACCCAGGCCGCCCCCGCAGGACCTCGACGAGGCGCAGATGGACGAGGCTGCTGTTGAGGAGAAGAAGCGCCGGCACGACGTTATGGCTCACGTCCACGTCTTTGGCCTGCACGCGCCCGCCGCTGCGGGCATCATCCACCTCGGCGCAACCTCGTGCTACGTCACCGACAATGCCGACCTCATCTTCCTGCGCGACGCCTGCGACATCATCCTCCCGAAGCTCGCGGTCGTCATCGAGCGCCTCGCCCGCTTCGCCGAGCAGTACAAGGATCTCCCGACGCTCGGATGGACCCACTTCCAGCCCGCTCAGCTTACGACCGTCGGCAAGCGCGCGACACTCTGGATCCAGGTGCGCCCGTCGTCTTGCCTAACAAGTCTCGCGGATTTCGCTGACCCCTTCTATCGCTCGCAGGAACTCCTCTGGGATCTCCGCAACATCCAGCGCGCCCGGGACGACATCGGCTTCCGCGGCGTCAAGGGCACGACCGGTACCCAGGCTTCCTTCCTCGCCCTCTTTGACGGCGACCACGACAAGGTACGCAGCGGCGCTTGTACTCTTAGCACATCTACTGACACCTTTCCGCGCAGGTTGAGGAGCTCGACCGCCTCGTCACCGAGCTATCGGGTTTCAAGCACGCCTACCCCGTCACTGGCCAGACGTACTCCCGCAAGATCGACATCGATGTCCTCGGCCCTCTCGCCTCGTTCGGTGCGACCGCGCACAAGATCGCGACCGACATCCGGCTACTCGCGAATCTGAAGGAGGTCGAGGAGCCGTTCGAGAAGGACCAGATTGGCTCGAGTGCGATGGCGTACAAGCGCAACCCGATGCGCTCCGAGCGCATTTGCTCGCTTGCTAGGCACTTGATGGTCATCCAGCAGAACGCGATGATGACCGCCAGCGTTCAGTGGTTCGAGCGCACCCTCGACGACTCGTGAGTTTAGTTGCGCTTAACTCTGGATTCTCCACAGCTGACGAAGCTTCCTCACACAGCGCCAACCGCCGCATTACCATTCCCGAAGCCTTCCTCACCGCCGACATTATCCTCACCACGCTCCAGAACGTCACCGAGGGTCTCGTCGTCTACCCAGCCATCATCGCCCGCCGTGTCCGCCAAGAGCTTCCCTTTATGGCGACCGAGGTGCGCTGGCCTGCCGAAGTTCAACTTGACCCCCAGCTGATCTTGCTCGCGCAGAACATCATCATGGCCATCGTCAAGAAGGGCGGCGACCGCCAGATCTGCCACGAGAAGATCCGCGTCCTCTCGCACGAGGCCGGCGCGGTCGTCAAGCAGCAGGGCGGCGAGAACGACTTGATCGACCGAGTGCGCGCCGACAAGTTCTTCGAGCCGATCTGGAACGACCTCGACAAGCTCCTCGACCCGTCGACGTTCGTCGGACGCGCGCCTGAGCAGACGACCAAGTTTGTCAAGGAGCACGTCAAGCCCGCGATCGAGCCGTACAAGACCGCGGTTGACGCTGCGGTCGCTGCCGAGCTCTCGGTCTAAGCGTGCACGTCGTGGCGATTCCTAGAAGCGGTTTCATAGACGGCGGCGACGCGGCGAAAAGTACCAGCACGGCGACACTTTGGACACTCTCTCTTCCCTTTTGTTTCCGGGCTTTCCTGTCTTAACAAGGTAATGCAGTCATCCGACCAAGATCCGACGGCGGGAGGAGGGGGACGATGGACTTGTTCTCTGCGGAGTCTGGTGCTGCGCTCTCCGCATTCTGCTGCGATATCTCCTCGCCTTTGCTTGCGACCCTAGGAGACGGGCTTTTCGACGCCGCGATTCTCCAGTTCGACAGGAGTTTGTGCGTTTGTGGCTGAGATCCATCGGGCACTCCGCGGACGTTCCGGCCGTCCCTCGCGCCCTTGCGCCTCCCCTCGCCCTCTTCACCTCGCTTCGTTCATTGGACATGTCCTCAAGTACCGCCATCCAGCATTCAGTGGCGCCGGCTGACGCCAAAGACTGGCTTCTCGCGCCCGGCTCGCGCTTCTTTTCGCGCCGGATGCATCCTACGACGGGGAGCACTGTGCTGTGCTTGGGAGAGCTGGACGAGGGCAGTGAGGCGGTTCGACTTCGACGGTGCGTATAGACCTTTGCAACCCTTTCTGCTGAGATTGCCGACAAAGTCTTGGTCAACGCGAGTCTCCTCATACTGACGCCTGTTACTTCACAGGTCTGTCTACCAGTACATTATTTCGTCCTACAAGCCTCTACACCCGCTCGATGGAGCAGAGTACCGCGACTTGCAAGAAAAGTATGGCGACGCAGTGCCGTCGCTCGACTGGGAAGCGTTCTGTGCGGTCGTCGAGTACGTCGCACGCTCGGTCAAGCTCACTCTCGCACGACTTGCGATACTGACGAGCCGAGTCCTGCAGCAACTGGCCCTGGTTCTTTCCCCTCGAAGCCTGTTCCGCCTTTGCCAGCAAGACTTCCTTGACACCCCTCGACGCCTTCATCGACCTCGTTCTTCTTGCGACGTCTTCGCCTTCCTCAAGGTCCCAGCATCGGCCACAGGAAGACGCCCGGCACGACCTCCGCTCGCTTTTGACGCACGAGTTCCCCGTCGCACTCTCGCTATGGCAGCGCTCGCTCGACCGTTACTGCGCCCAGCGCCGGCCCAAAGCAGCGAGCAAGATCGAGGCATGGACGAGCACGAATCTGCGGCAGTTGCGCGAGGAGGTGATTGAGCAGGCTGCGGGAACGAAGCAGTATATTGTGGCGGGGACGAGGATCAACAGCTATGAGGCGACGCTGGTCGACTGGCTGGTGCACGAACGCAAGGCCGTCTTCACGCCCGTCGACAGGTGAGTGGTGACTGTGACAGCGGGTTGGCCTGATTGCTCACCTCGGTCCCTCGCGTAGGAACAAGCTCGTCAAGCGCATCACACGCACAGACAGCGACCCTCGCTCATCCATCAGCACCTCCCGCACATCGCTCTCCTCGATCCCACGCGACCCACTCAGTAGCGTCACCTCGCTCGAGCAGCGTCCTGAGGCGACAAGCGGATCGAGCGGGAAGCGCCAGCGCCTCCGTGATGCAGTGAGGGTGTTTCAGCGGTAGAGGCGAGGCGTGCATCCCTGCGGATCGAGTTATCTATTACAAAGACCGGAGTGACAACCGAGAATCGAGAGTCGTGGCGGAGGAGCGAAGCGAGAGGTGCTGATACAACGGGTCGACTGGAGTGAGTCGATTGGTAGGGGTATGTCGCTTGGTGAGCGGAAGAAGGCGGGGAAGGGGAGTCATGCGGTTGCAGTGGCGGGAACGGGGAGGCGAGCTGTGAGCGGAGCAGTCGTGAGCTGAAGCCTCCCGAGCCGATTGAAAGCGAAAAGGAGGACGCACGACGAGGAGGTACTGTACACGGGTGTCCGAAGGAGGGGGAAAGCCTTTACTTCGACAACTGCTTCTCTGCGGGCGGAAGAGCAAGTCAGTATCGCCGTTTGACGTTGGTGCCAATCGAAGACGGTCTCACCAAGCAGGTCCTGCAGTGTGAAGAGACGTCAGCATCGCAATCGGCTTGTGGGAGAGTCGAGTGAGAACTCACCTTCGCCTCGTTCACCTTCGACGCGATGTACGGCGAGCCTCCTCGGTCGGGGTGGTTCCTGTGCAGTCCCCTCGCGTCAATATTGGCACAAAGGAGAGAACGAGAGGAATCGTGACGAACGCAAGCATGATCCGTCGGTGGGCGTCCTTGAGGCGGGTCATCGTCATGTGCGACTCCCTGAGAGTGTCGCGCATTTGTGTCAGTCGACTTGCCTGGCACGTCTGCCTGCGGGTATGCTCGTAGCGGACGAGGTGAAGCCGCAGCATTCGCGCAACTCACCTCAACCCAAGGATCTGCACTGCCTCCTTCCTGTCCATCTTCGCCTGGAATCCGCCCTTGACCCACTCCTCCTTGCCAACCGAGCCCTGACCGGCAATCGCAGCGAGGAAAGGGTTCAGCCGTGCGCCGTTGCGGGCGGCGGCGCGAAGCGAGTATCGCAGGCCGAGGGTGGTGGCGGCTACTGCGCCGGTGGCGGCGAGAAGGGAGGCCATGCAGAGGGTGTTGGAGTGTGTTGGTGAGGGTTAGGCGACAAAGAAAAGGTGATCTGGCGGAGCGAGGCGATTGACGAGCCGAAGGCAGGTCGAGGAGGCGAACGAGTGTCAGCGCGCTGTTGGACGGCGGCAAAGCGACCTGCCATGATGCGCTAGACCCTTTGCACCGTTGTCACATCCCCCCGAGCCTCCCTGGCAACCTGCTCCTCCGTCCGCAGGAGGATCCGCCAGATTCGATGACCTCGTCGCCCAACTCTCCTCCGAAGACCCGCCCAGGACGCAGTGCCTCGGCCTCGGCCCAAAAAGCCACTCTGCCGCCAGAACCGCCCTTCGCGCCGTGCGAGCGAGTGGCGCGGTGCCCTTGCCGCGGACGATGCTCAGGCGGCGAGTTCGGCAGCATCAAAGCGGGTCGCGCGAGTCTGTCGAGCAGCCCAGCAGCGTGTAGCAGTCCCAGAGAGCGCTGCTCACCTGCAAACGTGCGCCGGAGCGGGTGAAGCGGTCGTCGTCTCTGTCCAAGGTGTCTTCCTCGCTCTCTCGCTTTCGACACTCGCCAATCTCGCTGTCCATCGCTCTGCTGCTCTCGAGACCGTGCTCAGGCGACTGCTAGACCCGGGAAATGGCATCACACTCGCTCGAACCGCCCCTGCCCTCGCCGTCCGCGTTCCCCTCGCTCTCGCCAGACACTCCCTCGCACACCGCACCCGTACAGCCCTCGATCTCGTACGCGAAGGCATCAAAGAGCGTCCTGCCACCGACAAAAGCACCAGAAGGGATCTCGCTGCCCCCGCCGCCGCACAGCAACGCTCCTGGGACGGGTGAAGCAGGAGCGACGTCAGGGTCCGCGCACGAGCGGAGGCCGCACTCGAGCAAGGAGCGTCTCCAGCCCAGCCAGAACGGCAAACACTCGCCGTATGCACGGCCGAACCCGGCGGGCGCGGGAAAGGGCGTGAAGAAGGGTCCTGCAGCGGGCGCAAAGGGTGGAAAGGGTCCGGCTGGAAAGGCCAAGCCTGCGGTGGGAGCGAACGGTGCTGCGACGGAGGAGGCGAACGGCGTCAAGCAGCCGCGGACGCATGTCCCGGGAATGCCGGCGTCGATGCTGCCCGTCGCAAAGAAGTCGGGTTCTTCGCACGGCCGCAAGTCGTCGACCTCTTCGCCGGCTGCGAACGGCACGGCAGCGCCCACAGCGACCGGAGACGTACCCGCGATTGGCAAGAAGCGCCGCCAATCGCTCCGCAAGGTCCTCCCGCCCACCTCATCCAAATTGTCCGCCCTCGCCCCGACTTTCGAGTTTGCCCCTCGCGCAACCGCATCCTCTTCTACCGCACTCGACTCGTCTTCTTCCGGCCACTCGTCTGAAGCGGAAGGCGATGCGCAGTCCCGTCCGAAGGACGAGACCGACTTGCTCTCCACCTCGGAAGAGGCCGCGATCAACGAGACCGTCTCGTCTGCCGGTGCGCAGGGCGACGCCTTCGTCGCCAAATCGTTCTCGCAGGCGGATGCAGAGGGCGCGGACGTGGTTGCCGGAACGAGCGCGAGCGAGCAGAGCGCCAAGCCGAGCGATGCAAAGGCTGCTGCGCTCAAGACGGCGAGCGAAGTGGAGGGCCAGGAGAAGGAGGAGATTCCGGCTGAGCCAGCGCAGGAGCGCTCGTTCGGCGCGCTTCTCCCCTCGGCTTTCATCAACACCGACGGAACCGCTTTCGCGCCTCTTTCCGATTTGGAGGATGCGGAGCCCGCTCCTCCCGCTGTCGAGCAAGTCAAGACGGAGCGCATCTCGGGCGCTGTGCAGGAGAGCCCTGTCGCCGACATCTCATGGCGCGAGAGGCAGGGCTGGTGGAACAACGACTTTGACGCCTCGATCGCTTCGACTTCGTCCTCGATACCTGCGGAGGACCCGAAGCCTGAAGAGGCTGGACCGGCGGCTGTCGAGCCAGCACGCTCGCAGGACTCGGCGTCCGAGACGCTCCTTCGCTTCCCGCCTTGGACGCCCGAGCCGCCTTCGACGCCCGAAGCGACTCAGCGCGTCCGCGACGTAGCAGAAGTCCGGTCTGCCACGCCGCTCGGGACGTTCCTCAACTCGGCTTTCGTTGCTGACGACCCGAAGAACACTTCGGACGTGCCAACTTCGGTCGAGGAGATCGTCGCCTCGTCCGCTGCCTCTTCGCCTCCGTCCATCTCGATGCCCGCCCCGACTCCCCTCTCCTCCTTCCTCTCTTCCTCCTTCTCGAACCCGACTACGCCTTCCGCACTCGAGTCCTTCGAGCCGCAAGCCGAGCTCGCAGCCGAACGCCTCGCGAAAATCGATGCCCTCCCGCCTTCGAAGCGACCCGAGATCGACTTCCCCATCTCGGCTGAGGAGGTTGCTGCACAGCCTAGTCTGGACGACGTTCTTGACGTTGACGGTATCGAGGATGGGAAGGTCGTGGTTGAGGGTGAGGAGAAGAAGTCGAAGGAAGAGAAGTACGGCTGGTGGTCGCCCGACTTCGACCCGTCTCGCTCGTCTGCGTCAGGGTCGAAGGACCTCGTCGACGAGCAGAAGATCAAGGAGACGGTCCAGTCGGCCGGTGCGCAGGGCGACGAGTTCCGCGGCAAGACGTTCGAGCAGGCGGATCGGGAGGGTGAGGTCGAGAGTGCGCCGGTTGAGCCGGCGAAGCAGTCGGCTGGAGTGGCGAAGGAGGAAAAGACATCGGTCGGCAAGGCGGAACAGGAGGAGCGTGATGGTTCGCGGACGCCGCTGGGAGAGTATCTCGGACAGGCATTCTCGTCTGCGCCTTCGGCTTCTTCAACATCTGCGCCCGCTCCCACGGCTTCAACTTCCGCTGCTTCGACTTCGACTCCCGCGCCGGTCGCACGCGAAGACTCCTCGACTCCAACCACCACCGCGCCCGCCCTCTCCCGCCGCCGCTCATCCTCCCCTCCTCCTCCGCCTGGCAAGTCGAACAACGCCGACGACGCGCCTTCCCTCACGCTCGCTCTCGCATCTGCTTGGCACACCGCGCCGTGGACGAGGAAGATCTGGGCAGTCCTCGCAAGTCTGGCCATCAATGTTGGGCTGCCGTTCGTGAACGGCGTTATGCTCGGTGCGTTCCTTTCGCGACATTGCTCCGAGCTCATGGTCCCTGGTTTTGGATGCTTACGATCGACGATCATTTTCCCACAGGCTTCGGCGAGCTCTTCGCCCGCAACGTCCTCGGCGTCCGACTCGGCTGGCCTCTCGCTTCGTCGTCTTCTTCCACCTCGACTCGCGTCAACACCTCTTCCGTCGGACTTCGCGCCGCAGGACGCACGAACCCCAACATCGGACACGAGGTGCCCGGTCACGCTGGTGCGAAGACGGTCGCGGAAGCTGCTGGTGAGGCCGTGCGCGAGGCGGCCGAGTAGACCATCCACCTCCTCTTGGATCCCCTTCCCATAGACGGACACTTTACCTCACCCCTCTTAACCGTGCTCTACTTCGTTCGCCTCTCATCGTCGTTTCTCACTCTCGCCTCTTCATCACAAAAGCCGCCCCATGGGCGCACTCGTCGTTTGTCTGACCCGTTCTATCGCACCACTTCCTTTCTTCGTTGCCTTTCTTTCCTCCCCACCATCCCTCTCGCCATTCTTGCTTTGTGCGCCTCTCGTCGACATCAACGACCGCATGGATTGAACCTCTAGACGTACGCATTCTCACCTGTCCGTCGAGCGAGCACTCTCCCGTGAGCGGCGTCAAGTCGCAGAAAACCCTCAGTTGCAGCAAGAAATACGTGCCCACGGCGGCCCCAGAGTCCCTCGTCCCTTTCAGCCTACCAGTCATCGTCGTCCTGCACCGCAGCCCTGCCTGACCTCTTCGCGAGAGCCGCCGCCAGATCATTCGCCGTCGGCTTGACCAGCGAGCCGATCGCGGGAGCAGGCGGCGCGGCGCCGTTCGCGGCGGGTCGTCCAGGGCCGGGAGGAGGAGGCGGCGGAGGGGGAGGAGGCGGAGCGGGCGTACGGCCGCCAATCGCAGGAGGAGCGCCGGGGCGAAGTGGCGCAGGAGGCGGAGGCGCTCGGCCAGCCGCTGGCGGCGGAGGCGGGACAGGGGGCGCGAGCGCCAGGCGCTGGAGGGGGAGGAGGGGGAGCGGGTGCACGGTTGCTGGCCGGGGGAGGAGGAGGGGGAGCAGGTGCACGGCCGTTCATGCCGCCAGGCTTCTGCGGGATCGACGGTTTGGGCTTTGGCGCGACGGGAGGTTTGCCTGCGGTCGTCGCGAGGTCAGTGAGAGCAGACGCGACATGGACGAACTGATGCGCACCGAGGGACGATCCAGGACGCGAACCTGCGGGCGAAGCGCCTGCGGAGCTTACCGGCGTGCTCGCGCCGTTCTCTTCGCCCGCCTGAGCCCGCTTCGCTGCCAAAATTGCCGCGAGGCCTCCGCTGTTGCCCATGCCGGGCATGACCGCGACAGGAGCGGCATTGCCATCGCCTGTCCGCGAGCCAAGGCCGATAGCTGGGGCCTTGGGCGCAGAGGGCGCAGAGGGAGCAGCCGGAGCTTTGGGCGCCGCCGGTGCCTTCGGTGCAGCCGGAACAGCGGGGATGGCGGGAGCGAGAGGAGCTTTGGGGGCGGAGGGCGCTGACGGAGCGGCAGGCGGTGCACGTCTCACAGGAGCAGGAGGAGGCGCGGCGGGTTTCGGCTTCGGCGGGATAAGTTGGAGGTACTGCAAGGCGGAGAGGAATCAGCAGGCTTGCAAAGATGAGGAGAACGGTCGCGTGCGCACGTTCGACGGCGCCCAGCCTTCTTGCGAGCCCTTCTTGATGAGCCACCATCCGCCGTCGTCTTTCGTCACGACCTCGAGGATGTCATCCTTCTTCAGTGGCAGCTCGCCCGGCTGGTCGGTCTCGAACGCGAAGAGACTGCGGGCGACAGAGGTGAGTGTGCTGATCTGGACCCAGAATGCAGGAATCGGCACGCACGCCTTGTACTGCTCGACTTCGGGCTCGGGCCGTGGAGGCGGAGGAGCGGGAGCGCGAGTCGGTGGCGGCGGCGCAGTGCGGTCAGTCGAGACGGGGGCGGCTTTTGCGGCGGGAGCCTGAGGAGCGGGAGGAGCGCGAGGGATGCCGGCGGGCGCGGCGGGGACGGCACCGAAACCAGCGGCGCCTGGCAGTGACTGAGGCGTCGGTCGCTTCGCTCCAGTCGGGCGCTGTATGCAGTTGGAATCAGTACCATTATGAGCCACGAGAGGCCGAAGGGACTCACGCTGGCCTGCCTCGGCGCTGCCGCCTTCTTCTGCCTCGGCTTGCGAGCGCAAGGCGGGTCGGACTGGCTCGTTGGAGGCTGACCCGAGGGAACGCTGACGGTCGACGACTTGTAGACGTCGCCGCGCTGGATAGACTCGTCCTTCTTGAACGAGATTGTCGCCATCTTGCCCTTCTTCTTCGAGTACTGGATGCTGTGAGTAAGAAGCGAACAAGTCAGCAGCGCTCAGACATCGACAGGAGGAACGGGAAACGCACGTTGGGCCGATGTTAATCTGCACGGCGCCGTTCGTCCGCTGTTGGAGGTGGACGAGGAACTCGGTCTTGAAGACGCAGGAGATGAGCGGGTCGCCTTCCTCCTGGCTCGTCGTATTGAGCGCCATCCAGTCGTCGCGCAAGTTCGACAGGCCGACGCTGCGGATCGTGACGAGGGGAATCTTGCGCTCGAGCGTCGTCTGGACCTGGTTCTGCACGGCCTGCGAGATGAGGATGTAGACGGCCTTGTCGGTGAGGATGAGGTAGCGCGGGCTCGGCTTGGACGAGCGACCGAGCTTGGAGACGAGCAACTCGACCCGCGAGCTGAAGGCGACCGTCTCGTTGGCTAAAGGGGAAGGGGTCAGCTACCAGCGCACATCGCCAGAAGCGGAAGCGGTACTCACAAGCGATGCCAGCCGCACTCCGCAAACGCGATCCTTCCACGCTGTCCCGCTCGCCGACGCCGAGGTAGTCTCCGAGGAACTTGCGCATGCTGACGAGCGAGTAACGCCTCCGCTCCTTGCGCCCGCCGAGAACCTGGTGACCGTAGTCGCGCAGCTGATTGTAGACGATGTTCTCCTTCTGGCCGAGCCAGAACCGCTGGATTGTGCGCGCGGCGTCGTTCTTGCGGCGGAGGTACGCGCGCCAGGCCCGCTGAATGCGCGCCGCCATGTTGTGCCAGTACTTGTCGCGCATCGACTCAAGGGCGAAGAGCGTCTCGGGGTTCTTGATGAACGCCTTGGTGACGCCCATCTGCCACTCCTCGCGAGCGATCCCCGTGTCCTTGAGGATCTGCTCGCATCCCGACCGCGCGTCGCCCTGCCAGATGTAGTCGCCAGCATACGAGGTGGCAGGCGAGAGGAGGTAGAACCGCTCGACCATCTTCTCGAACGTGTTTCGGTAGGCGAAGCCGGCGCGGCGGATGCGAACGTTCTCTTGCAAGCCGAGGTATTTGATCTGGTGGAGAATCGCCTTCGTGTCGTACTCGCTCGGCGAGCGGTTCTGATTTGGCTTGATCGTGCGGATGTAGTGCGGCTGCGAACGCATGAGCTTGTCGACGAGGGCGTTCGCAGACGCCTTGATCTTGTCCGAGGCCGTCGGCGGGCGCTTCTTGCTGTTCGGGTCGGGCCGGTCGGGGAAGAGGGTCTGGAGGAACTGGTTGCCGGACGAGGCCACGAGGTCGAGCAGGTCCTTCGAGAGGACGTCCTTGTTCTTGTCCGTCATGCCCGCAACGGTGTACATGACATCGCCGGCGTAGTGCTTGACGAGGAACTTGCTGCCGCGCGTCTCGAACTGCGGGTTGCTGACGCCGCCGAGGCGCTGGGTGAACGAGTTGTCGGCGGCGGCCGGGTCTGCGTGGGCGGTCGCGCAGGCGTCGTTGAGGGCCGCAAAGACGCCAGGAGGACGCTTCTCCTCGATGAGATCGCAGACGATCTTGTTGTTGAAGTAGTCGATGGGCGTCCACTGCGAGCAGTCATAAGGGTCAGACCAGGCGATAGCAAAGGGCGACTCGCTCGTCACGCACTTTGATCTGCTCGCGCACGTACTCCTCCTGCTCCGTCTTGAGCGTGAGCTGGATGAAGATCTGCTGCAATTTTTCGTTGACGTAGTTGATGCACAGCTGCTCGAATTGGTTCGTGTCGAAGATCTCGAAGCCGTAGATGTCGAGGACGCCGATGATGGTCGAGCTCTGCGTCTTGCTCTTCATCGACACGTTGACGCGACTGACGATCCACTCGAAGAGGTTGTTGTACAGCGCTTGGGCGAGCGCGTCGCGGACTGCGGCCGCCTGTGCCTGGTTGAGCGGGACCTCGTAGACCGAGCCTGCGCGAACGAGCCGTCAGCAGGAGCGTCAGAAGAGCGCGCACAAGGGGACACACCTCGCCGACCGCCACGCTGCGTCTCCATGATGCGACTCGTCAAGGCGTTCGCAACTCGAGTCGGGTCAACCTCGAGCAAGTAGGCGACAAAGTCTGTCACGCTCGTATCCCGCACGCGAGAGTTGCCCTCCTCATTCGGCGCAAACTCGACATTTCCGATCCACAGAACGGCGGCGAGCATGCGGAGGATGTTGTCCTGCTCCTGCTGCGTCAGGCCGACGATCTGCATCGCCTTGAGCGTCTCGGCCCAGTCGTACGTGTCGTCGATGCCGGGAACTTCGAGGCAGCCCGACTTGGACGTGTAGGCGTAGGCTTCGGGTCCTTGCAGGCCGTACGCGTCGCGCTGAGCCGACGAGGCACCCTTCGTGAGTTGGTAGAAGATGTGGAAGTTGCGCTCGTTCTTGATCTGGCCCGTTACGCGGTTCTGCGCGAGACAAGCGAGTGAGCAGGCGGGATAGGCTGGAAGACGAAGGAGAAACTTCACCTTTTCGAGGAGGTAGTTCGTGATCATTGCTCCGACGGGCGCACCCTGCGCATCAAACTCGATTTCTAGGTACTTGCCCTGATGGCGCGAGACTGTCAGTTTCGTCTCGCTCAGCCTGGGGGGACAAACGCACATGACGACTCGAGTTGTTGTTGCGAAGCGTCTTGGCGCAACCGAAACTCTCCAGCAAGGGGTTTGTCGCGAGCACCATCTCCTTGACATCCTCAATGCCTCCGCCGCCCGACCCTTCCCCACTGACCGCCGCGATGTACTGCATGATCCGCTTCGCAGCCTCGGTCTTTCCCGCACCCGACTCGCCCGAGATGATGACGCATTGGTTGTCCCCGTACGAGCGCATCGCATAGTACGCCGACTCGGCGATTGCGTAGACGTGCGGGACCATCTCGAGACGGTTCTTGCCGCGGTAGGAGCGGAGCGTCGTCTCGTCGTAGATCGGGAGCATGCGGAAGGGGTTGACGGAAATGAGCACGTGTCCGATATAGGTCTGGAGGACGAAGCGGTCAGTCTTGCGCGGGGGACAACCTAGGCGAAGGTGCGAACATAGATCTCGCCGTTCTCCCATCTGTGTCGCGGCAGTTGTCAGTGAGGACGCTCGCTTCTCCACATCGGGTACGACGCACCGCTTCTTCAGGTTCTCGTTGATCGCGTCGTTCGAGATGGTCGACAACAAGGTCATGTCGCTCACTCCCGCCTGCTTCTTCTTGAAGCCCTCCTTCCAGTCCGCCTGATCGAGATCGCGGGTCAGCACAGTGCGAGAGTACTCAATACCTCGTAGAATACGCTACGCACCTTGGCGAACTTGCCGCCCGCACCTTTGCGAGATGACGCTGCGGGCGCACCGCCTGCCGCGCCCGCCGCCGCCTTCTTGCCCTTGCGGGTGGGCGCCTGTTCGCCGAGCGAATGTGCAAGGTCAGCTGCACGTTTCGAACGAGCTCGGCGGGGCTGAGGTGGACGCACCATGAGAGCGAGTCGGCCGAGGTGATGTGGAGCGAGAGAAGGCTGGAGCTCGTGGGCGAAGTCGCGTTGAGGATGCACGAGTCAAGCAGTAGTGTTCTAGCACTCTACTGAAGTCTGCGAAGCCCGCGAGCGAGAGGAGCGAGGCAGAACAAGGGAGACGAGCAAGGAGGCCGGTGCACGCCATGTCAGCGGCGGCGACGACGACCAGGGAGGCCGTAGACTGACATGCAAGATCGTACAGGCATCTGAACAACTGTCAGACGCAAGCCAAGCGTTTTCGAGCGAATCAATCACGAGTAGCGGACTAACGGCGGCGAGGAGATGCGATGCGTTGCGAGTTGCGAGGGTGATGCAGCGATGCGACATACAGAACAACAAGACGAACCTCTTGACCCTCCCATACAAGCAACCGCCTGCTCAATCCAGGCGCCGCTCCGCTTCGAGCTCCTTCTTCCGCACCCTCCACAACGCGCCTTCGTACGCCGCCGTGATAGCCTTGACGACCGCCATGCCCTTCTTGTCCTCGAGTTCGACGCAGCGCTGGTGCAACACCCGCAGGTCCTGGAACCTGAGGTACGGTGCACGGTGTCGGTCGAAGGAGGGCGCCGTCTCGGGGTACTGGCTCGACGAGATGCGGATGGGGACCTTCGGGAGGTGAGGGTTGCGAGTTGACGGCAGTGGAAGCGCATCGGCTGGTTGCTGCTGAGCCGGCGTCAAGGGTTCCCGGACGACGTAGGGCGAGAAGGTCTGGAAGAAGCGCTTGAGGACGCTGAGCGCCTCGTCGACCCGGTACGCCCTGCATAGCGAGGTCAGCACAGGTTGGCGTGACCGTGAAGGAACTGTTGCGCACCTGGCGAGGACGCGGATGAGACCGCCCCACATGGCGCGGACGTTCTCGCCGTTCCTCCTCTCCCGCGCCCACTTCTCCTCTTCCCTCAAACGCCTATCCCGCGCAGTCTCGGCGCTCTCCCCTTCGTATTCCTCCGGCGAGAACGGAGGAAGAGGGGTCTCGCTCCACGTGAGCCACTCCTCCCACAGCTTCTTCGCCGCCTCGACCGCCTGCTTGTCGTTCTCTAGCAACTCGATGCGCTGCATCAGAACCGAGAACGAGTGGCGGCTCTTCACGACGCCCGTGCGATCGTAGACGGCCGCGAAGAAGTTGGTGGCGGCGGCGAAGGGGCCATGCCTTGCGAGGACGATGAGGTACGAGTTGAGGAGGAAGCTTGTCGGCTCCACGAGTGGGAACATGGTGGAAGAGGGGCGAGATTCTGAAAGAGAAGGAGGAGCGGGTGTTGTGGCGTCGAGGACGGATGCGTCGACGACCTGTAGCATGAGCTTGCGTGCCTCGGCGAGAGTTTCCGCCGACGTCGTGGGAAGAGGGCCAGGGTAGAACAATGACTCTTCGCCGAGCAGCTCGACGATCTGGGCCGCGCTTGGCGAACCAGTAGAGGGTGCTGGTGCTGCCGACAAGTTGGCTGGGTCGTCCTCCGGGTGCACCTCGCCATCCACCTCGACCACTCCCTCGACCGTCTCTATCGCGCTTGATCCGTCACCGCGAGCGTCCGCATCCTGCTTCGCCGGCGGTACCTGCGCCTCCTTCGCCTTCCCGTCCTCCTTGCCGACCGGGCGATACCACGCATACGCTTGGAGAACCAGAGCGAGCGTGGCATCATTCGGCGCGACGTCTCCACCGACGCCAACCATCTTGATGAGCATCCACCTCGCCCTCGCCAAGTCGCCATGCTTCTTCGCGCCTTCAAGGACGGCATGGAACGTATGCCGTGACGGCTTGACGTTGTCGTCGAGCATGCGGCGCATGAACCGCAGCGCTTCGTGGTAGTACTCGCGCGTGCCGTCGCGCGCGCAGGCACGGATGACGCCGTTGTAGGCGAGCTCGGAGGGCGGGAGGCCGTTGTCGTCTGTCATTTCGGTGAACAGGTCGATGGCGCGTTCCGGGGCGGGATGGTCGCCTCGCGCGCAGGCTTGGATCACGGTGGAGAACATGGGGACATCGGGGATGGGGTAGGCGACGAGACGGGAGTGGCTGTATAGGTCCCAGCCTTCGCGGACGAGGTTGGGACTGGAGGAGGAGACGAGGCGCTTCGTGACAGCCGTGTATGTCTCGCGGAGGGGGGTGTAGCCGGCAGCCTCCATGGCTTTAAGGTGCCGGAGGGCGAGTTCTGGATGAGAGGGGAGGAGCGATGTGAGAAGCTGGTGATGGGCGATGAGCGAGATCGGGAGGCGGTCTGAGGGCAACAGTGTCAGCTGAGCAAGTACGTACAATCTCGCAAGCAACGCACTCTCTCGGGCAAACTTCGCCAAGGCGAGCGCTTCCTGAGGTTGACCTTGCGCGGCGTAGATGGCGAGGGCGTTTTCGAGTACCTTGCCTTCCGAGATGGGTGTTGTTCGCTGCGGAGGCGGAAGTGTCAGGCTCGAGCGGTGGGCCAAACAGCCGGGGCCGACTCACGTTCATTAGCTGCAACGCCTTGAAGACGCCTTCTCGGTCGCCGTCCAACGCCTGCGATGCAACCGGGTCAGCAGCGAGCAGCATGCAGCTCGGAAGGACGACTCACCGATGCCAGCACAAGGTCGCTCCACTCTGCCCTTGATAGCAGGCCCCGCGGCAGCTCCGCCAGCTCCGCATCTTGCCGCGCAACGGGTTCGTCTTCCGGCGTAATCGTCTCGAGGTAGTCGATTAATGCCCGTGCCGAAGTCGTAGTCGGGACGAGCGGGAGTGAAGGCTGCATCTGCGCAAGCGCAAGCTCCGCCGCATTCTCTGCCCGCGATCGCCGTAACCGGGCTGCGAGAGACGGTCGAGGTTCCCCTTCCTCCTCCTCTGGTGCCGCTAACTGCTTCGTCTCTTCTGCCAATTCCGCCTCAAACTCTTGCAGCCGCTCCGCAATCTGCTCTACTCGATCTCGCCGGACGCGAGATTCGACGGCGGGATCTGGTAGGGCGGGAATGTTGGAAGGGGGGATGAGGAGCGGTGCGAGATCTTCGGGCGGGGCGAGGATGAGACCCTTGTAGACCGCTTCGAGCTCCTCTGGACTCAGTGGCGCGACTGTCCGGACAATTTCCTGTTCGGCCAGAAAGCGCGAGATCAGGACTGTCTTCGTCGCTCGTGAGGAGGAAGTGTACGCACCTCGCCCATCTCCTGCTTCTCCTCGACTTCCTGCCGTCTCTTCATCGCTACTTCTGCATGCACGAACTCCTTGTGCACCTGCCGCACCTTGCGCGCCTCCCTGATCTTCCGTCGTTTCTCGAGCTTGTCCTTGCGCTCCATCCATTGCTCCTTCGAGAGCCGATGCCGCAGCGGATATGCTGCATTCGCGGACGTAGAGAACGCCTGCTGCTGTGCTTGTTGCGCGCAGTGCGAGACGAGAGTTGCGGCGAGACGGTGATGGCGGTCGAGGAGGGTCGCTGTCGAGCTGGATCCAGCGAGCAAGGACCGGCGCGCCGCAGAGAGCATCGAGGGAGAGTCGGAACAGAGCTACAGACACACACAGCAAGCCAGTCCAGCACGAGCGAAGAGAGTGAACGAGGAAGAGCTTGCACCGCCCGACTTCGCCAGGCGGGATGACAATGTTGGCGGCGACGACAACTTCCCTTGCAACGCCTTTACTCGTCTGCTGCGACCGCCGTCCTACTCTTCTTCGTCTTAGTCGATTTGCCCTCGCCCGCCTTGCCCTTCTTCTTCTTCACCACCTTGACCGCCGCTCCTTCCTCTGCCCGACTCTCCCTAACCTCCGCAGCCGGCTCCACCTTCTCCTCCTGCGGTGGCTCGACGGGCGACACAGACCGTGTCGACGTTGCCCGAGGCGCAAGAGGTGCAGCGAGTCCAGGCGGCAACTCGCCCTCGATGTCGACCTCCATTGGCGGCGGCGTCGGTTCTCGCGGCGGAGGAGTTGGTGTTCGAGCGGGAGGCGAGCGCAAGTTGATGTCGAGGTTGACGATGGGGATAGTGTCGACATCGTCGTCTGAGCCGGACCTGTACGAGGACGACCGGCCCATGTGGTAAGGGTCGTCCCGTTCCCGCTCGTACCGCTCGGCACGGAGCTGCAGGTGAGGGGTTAGCGGACCTCAAGAGGATAGCAGAAGACACCGAACGCACCCTAGACAACTCCTCGGGAGCGTCCTCAACATCTCTCCGCTTGCTCTTCTTCCCGCTCACGCCCTTGCCCTTCTTCTTCTTCTTCCCGGCCCGCTCCGTCTCCTCACTCGCGACGACCGCCACCCGCAACAGCCGACCAAACTCGTCTACCTCGGGCTCCCGCTCGTCCGCACTGGCACCATCTTCTGCAGCCCAAGCGCTCGCATTGATCGCGACGTCCAGGTCGAGTCCTTCGGGCACGGTGACGAGGCCCTGGGCTTTGGGGTTGACGGGATTGAGCTCGTGTGAGAAGAAAAGTGGGTCGAGGAGGTTCAGGGACCGAGGTGGTGCGCGGCTGGAGGAGGCGAAGCCGCCCGCTTCGTCAGACGGCCCTTCCCCTGCCGTCGCCGTCGAGTGGACGACCGGTCGAGGCGCGTCCAAGCCCGTCCTGACGAGCTGTAACAGCCCGTGCAGCTCGGCCGCCCGTTCCTGCAACTCGACGTCCTGGCTCTTCGCGCACTCGGCAAGCTGGTTCTCCAGCGCCGTCGTGATGGACCTGATCTGGTCTATCGATGACTCGTCCCATGCCTCGGCGAGCGCAGAGAGCCAGCTCGCATAGATCTTGACGCCGTTGTGGACGTAGAGAGCGAGAATGCGAGGCGGGAGGGACGAGGTGGTGCTCGAGCCAAAGAGGGAGGCGATGACGGGTCGAGGGTCGTCCAGATCGCTGACCGTGCATATGATCAGCACGTTATCATGTAAGCGAAGAGCGCGTGACGCACCGGCAGTACTCGCCGCAGATCCACGCAGCTGCTCCGAGCACCTCCGTCGCATCACCGCTGTCTCCCGTTCCCAGCAGATCCTCATCCTGGATAAGCGTCGCCATTTTCCGAGCCGCATAAGGCCGAATTTGCCTCACTCGCGCCGTCACGTCAATGAGCTGGTCACGCAGCTGCGATCCCACAGTCGGCGGCGAATTGGCTGTCGCAGCTGGCGCGGTGGGGTCGGTCTGGAGCGTCTGCGAGATGTAGGCGAGCTCTACAAGTGTATCGATGAGCCAAGCAAAGTTGGAGACGTTCGAGTAGGTCCCGCTCGAGGTCATGCGGAGGATGAGGGAAATGAGGGAAGATCGGTAGGCGGTCGAGATGGCTGGTGTCGAGGGAGTCGCTGGTGCGCCGGTCGTCGCGGCTTGTTGCGCTCGGAGTAGGGATGCGGCAGCAGAGGCAGTCGAAGCGGATGGTCGGAGGTGGGTGAGGAGACGCCGGACGATAGTCTGCAAGTTCTGCCGGTTGACCATGACCTCGACGAGGTCGAGCGCGCGCATGCGAATCGACATGTCGGCGTCGTCGATGCAGCCGAGGATCGTGTCGTAGTGCGTCGAGATGAGGTGTGGGTGTGTCGGGGCGATCTTGACGAGCGCGACGAGCGCGATGTACCGCACTGCCAGCGCGCCGTCAGCTGGCGTACTCGAGAGTCCCGACCGTAGTACGCACAGTTCTGATCAACGTCCTCGAGGAAAGCCCCCAGCTTCTCTACGCATGTCCGTGCTAGAATCTCGCCCTCTGGCCCATTGTGCATGCCACCGACGATCGAGGTCTGGATGCACTCGTAGAGCAGTGACATGGCGGGTGTCGTCTCGATGAGCTCAGTAAGAGGTGGGACGAGCTTCTTGACGAGGCGAGGCTCTTCGGGTGTCAAGACGGCGAACTGCAAAGGGAGCTGTCAGAATGGAAGGATTAGACGATGAGATGGCACGCACCAGCTTGATGATCTTAATGAGCATCCAGTTATTCGTGCTGGCCGTCAATAGCCCGAAGAGCTCCGGCGCGAGCGGCAGGTATTTCCGCGGGTCCTTTCTCGCCGCCTCGCAAATAACGTTAACCGTCGCGCCAACAACACCCATGTCCTCGTCGCTCAGACGCTCTCGTATGCGCTCGATCCACGGATCCTCACCCCGTTCCTCTCGGCCCGTCGTCAGCTCCTGCACGCCTGGCCAACTCCGCAGGATCCGCCACATCGTCAAGACGGCTTGTCGTCGAACCAAGGGTCGCGTATGGGTCAGGAGGGACAAGAGATCGGGTCCGAGGTCGCGAGCGAGAGTTGGCGTGAGCAGGAGCGAGACGGAGGAGAGTGCGGTCGTGAGATGGGCGACGGTGAGGGCGTTTGGCGAGGCAGAAAAGAGTGGAGTGGGCGGCGTCAGGAGGTCCTGCAGCACAGCGTCCTGTCAGAGTTATGGAAGGTACTGAAGCGCAGGAGGACTCGCTTTCTTGACCAAGTTGACCACAAGAACCGCGACCTCCGTCTCCCGGTCGAAGCTCTGCGACGCGGCGAGGTAGCCGATCGACTTGATGTGAAATTTGGTGCTCGTCATGCACTCTACGATGGCGAACGAGGCGAACGAGATCGAGTACCCGAGCATCTCGAGCTGTCGACAGCCAAGTGGGGGAGGAGGGTCAGCAAGACGGCGACGGGGCGGACTGGCGAGAACAGCGCACGTAGATGAGCTTGAGGATGGCGGCAGACTTGAGGTCGATGTCGCTGCTCTGGATCTCCTTGCGCGTCTCCTCGAGCGCCTGCTCGACCACCCGGGCCTCATCGTTCTTGTTCGCTCGCAGCGCCTTGATGAGGCCTGAGCGGGTTACAGCGTCAGATCACAAACCTAGCTCCAGCGGAGACAGGTCGCACGTACCCTGGATCGACTGCTCGAGCATCTCGCCCCGAGGATCCTTCCGTCACCGATGAAAGGGCGGAAGCGAGCGGCGCCGTCGTGGGCTGAAAAGCGGGAGTCTAGAAACCAAGCAAGCAGGAAGACAGCGAACACCAGGACGAAGTGCCGTCTTGAGCGATGCGGAAGAGACAAGTGTGCGGACAAGGCGAAGGTGAGGAGAGGGGAGGGCTCGCAGGTGTATGGACGGCTTGTTCGACGAGAACGCTCTCAGCGGTGACTGTTGCGTCTTCTCAAGAGGGGACAAGTGTCGCCGCAGGAAAGGGCAGTCCACGCAGCAGAGGGAGAGTCGTTCGTCCTCCCTGCCCTCATCCGTCCGCCTTCGCTACAAACACCTCCATCTCGAGTGCGCCCAGCGTTTCTTCGACGGCCTCGTGAGAATCGAGTCCCAGCCGTCGCCTTACAAGCCCTAGTTCCGCCTCGACCTCCCGCCTTGCCGACTTGACCTGCGCGATCCGACTCTCCTGCTCCGCCTCGACCTCGCCAAACACATCCATGGCCATCTCCTTCTTTCGCTCGAGTACCTCGAATTGCTTCTCGTATACGGGCAGGTTCATCTCGAGCGCAGAGAGGAGGGCGTGCTCGAAGGTTGGCCGCCAGTTCAGCCGGGTGGTGATGAGCGAGGCGAGGTCGGCTCGGTCGCGCAAATCGGCGGCCCAGTCGTGTACACGACCTTGAAGTTCTAGTCGTTCGCTGTCGCTGTTGCGCGCGGGATGTAGGGAGGAGTGGACGGATTGCGCATCGTCGAAGTCGGCAGGTGCGCGGCGCAAAGTCGACGAGAGTACCTCCTTCTGCTTGCCGGCGAGAGCAGCGTCGGCGAGACCGTACGACGATGAAGCCCATCGGTTTGCGTAGGCGTGGAGGAAGAGGTAGGCGTCTTCTTCCCGCAAGATCGGCCGACTCGTTCTGCCCGGCACATACTTCGAGAGCAGCGGCACCTCGTCACCAGCGGCGCTTGTCAGGAGCGAAGTGCGCTGCGCTACCGACGATGTCGACATTGGCAAGGCTATCCGGCCGGTGCTGGAGAAACTGATGCCCGCCATGGCAAAGTTGGCGGGTAAGACGGACAACGGGCGCGGATTGATGAAGTCGGCGCGAAAGGCATGCGTGAAGATGTCGTCTATAGGATGTTGCGCGGCGCGAGAAGACGAAGGGGTCGAGGGATCTGGTCGGGATAGCCAAGTCGAGTGGTCCTGCTCGACGACCTCGAGTAAGCCTGTCGAGCGAATCGTCAGCACATCAGGCTACATCACACGTATAGTACAGCGGGCTTACCTCCGGCTTTGAGCACTCGCAACGCTTCGTCGAGCAGGCTAGTCCAGTCTTGCTCTGCGACATGCCCGAGGATCAGCACAGGCTGTGATGCAAGCCAAACTCTGTAGCTCACCTTGTAAGGCGAGGTTGACGTGTGCTACCCGCACATAGTCGAACTCAGCGCGAAACGGCAGAGGTAAGAGAAAGGAGGTCTGGATGAAGCTGATTCGCGAGTCCATACTTGCGGGTAGATCGATCGTAACGGACGAAGGGGCGACGTCGAGGCCTGTGCAACGAGAGCTTATCAGTGCGTCGAAATCGCTAAATCTAACCGCAAGCTGGACACACCGACAAACTCGGTTTCCTCCCAAGCCTCCTTGTTCGCCATCTCTAGGATCCAGAAAGGCGTTATGCCGCAGCCGATGTCGAGCACCCGCTTTGGTACTGGGCGCGGATCTGGAGAGGCGGAGGCGAAAGCTGGCGAGCCTTCAAGCGGGCTGTGAATGAGGGCGGAGGTGATGAGGGCGTCCCTGCAGCGCTAGTCCGCGTCAGTCAGGCTTCGGCCGCGATGAGCTATGGTTTGGACGCACCAGTCGAGCGAGTCATGCGAGTACGAAACGAAGTACGGTCCGTCTCGCCCGTAAGGCTGTCTGCCGAGTCCTCCGACCGGATCCCGCTCAACGAACCCGGCTTCCGCCTCCTCCAGCTGCTCCGTAAACTTCAACGACGTGCTCTCCGCAAAACTGCGCGAGTCGCTCGATGCGCGCGAGCGCCGCTCGTCCGGTTCAACCGCAAGCACCTCCTTCTCATGCCCATCAATCCGTACAGATGGCCCAAAGAGCCGAGTACGCCTGTCCGCCTCTGCGACCCGTTTCCTGAGCTTCGAGCCGGCCGCGAGCAGACCGCCTGTCCGAGTGCGAAGCCGAAGAGGAGACGGTGGGTCGGGCGCGAGTTGGCGGGCTAGCTGGGCGCTCATGTCGACAGCGTTCTGGCGGGGAGCAGTAAGGCTACGACCGCAAGAGGCCTAATGAGCGTGCTCAAGCGAGTCGAAAGGTGGGAGCGAGCGGAGGAGGGGCGCGAGCGTCGCATTCAGGCTGCAGTGAATGCATGCGCCGTAACGATGCCTGCCTTTGACACCGTTTGTGCGCGGATCCAGCTGTCTCGGCCGCTATTGTGCGCTGGCGAACAAAGGGCGGAGGGGGAGAGACGGTCGAGGACGGTTTCTGCGGGGACGACAGCGGATGGGGCGTACGCGCAGGCGTAGTAGGCGCTCTGTTAGTCCTGTCGACCTGCTCAGCTGCCCCGCTCGTCCGCCGCGCCGCTGTGTCAAGCTCGCCATCTTCATCAGCCGGATGTCGTCTGCAGCCCTCCTCGTCGGTCATCGCGCTTCAAGCAGGGTCCGAGGGAGCGCTAGTCCTTGCTGAGCGTGTTGTCGAGCCATCAGCGAGCCTCAAGCGCCACCGGCGCGAGCGAGTGTCGATGCCGTTGCGTGTCCTCCCAAGCCGGCACGAACGTCTCCCTCTTTTGGCTCACGACGACACTCGCTCGCTCTTCTCGCTCCGGCTCCATCGGCTTGTACTCGCGTGCTATGACTGCACCGACTGATAGACCGCTAGAAGGCGGCCCACCCAATGTCCTAGGCGAGCGAGGACGACAAGGCGACCGCGGGCCGGCGGGACAGGTGCGAGGCGAGATCGAAGAGCGGGATGGCGTTGTTGGGGACGCAGCGAGCGGCAAGACGGCTATCGAAGCGGCGGCCGACATGAGCGCAGGCCCGGGCGGGATGGAGTCGGCGGGAAAGGACGAGGAGGACAAGCTGGGAGAACAGCTCGCTACGCATCACAAGAACGGCTTGCAAGACCAGACGAACTATATGTGCGTCTAGTGCAGCTGGATATGGCTGTGCAGGAACCTAGAGGCTGACCGATTGACGTTGCAGGCCCGTCAAAGTGCGTCGAGCGGATTTCTTCCTCCTCCCCTCCGGCACGCTTGACTCGCGACCGCCGACGGCAGCTAGACATTTACGACGCTTTACTACCAAGCGGCAACGCTTGGCGCCTCGCACGACGCCTTTTCTCACGGAAACGGGCCAGACTGACGCCCGGTCGTCCCTTTCGTCCTCCAGCAAATCCTGGTCGTCTTCGCCTCGATGCAGCTGTCGGTACTGCTCGCATTCCTCGATCAGACAATCGTAAGTGTAGCGCTACCTTACATATCGGCGTACTTCAACGCCGGAAGATCGTCTGCCTTCGTGACGGCCGCCTACCTCCTCACGTCGTCTGCCATGCGTGCGCCTCCTTTCTCTGCTGCTGGGACATGCCGCTCGTACTGACACTGAGTCTCCATAGAACCCGTCTGGGGCCGTCTGTCCGACATCTTCGGCCGCAAATACACCCTCATGCTCTGCGTTCTAATCTTCGCGATTGGCTCGCTCGCCTGCGCTCTAGCGCGCACCATGGTTCAGCTTATTGTGTTCAGGTGCGTTCGTTTCTTCAGGATCCGCTTGAGCTCCACGCTCACCATCGGAAGTCGTGCAGGGGCATGCAAGGCGTCGGCGGAGCGGGACTTCTCACTCTCGTCCTGATTGTGCGCCCGCTCTCTCTCGCTTCGCATAGCTACAGAGACTTGTTGTGCTGACATCCCCGCGCATCGCTACACCCACCGTCTCATTGGCGCTTCCGCTTCCCTCGCCGCCCTTCCCACCTTCGCAGATCGTCTCCGACATCGTTTCCTTGAAGGAGCGCGGCAAGTACCAGGGTGTAACGGAGATAACGATCATGGTGGGCAACGGAGTCGGCCCGCTCATTGGCGGCGTACTCGTCCAGCATGTCTCGTGGCGATGATGAGTGTCTTCCTTACCCGCCCTCTTCGGCGCTCATGCTAACCTTGCACCGGCTTCTCCGTAGCTACGTGTTTCTGGATCAAGTCGGCCCTCAATCCTCGCTTTTTCTCCCTTCCCCAGAGGATAGGCCACTAACCTCGCCTCTTCGCGCTCGCAGCTTGCCTTGCTGCGCCGCCGCCATCGCCGTCATCGCCTACTTCCTCCCGCTGAAAGCCGTCAAAGGCTCAGCAAAGGAGAAGCTCAAGAAGATCGACTACGGCGGCGCCGTCCTCACCGTTGCTGCGACGGTCCTGCTCATTCTCCCGCTTAATTGGGGCGGCACCTCGTTCCCGTGGGTCTCGGGACCCGTCCTCGGCTGCCTCGTCGCCAGCTTCTTCGCCTTCGCCGTCTTCTTCCTGTGGGAATGGAAGGCCGCTCGCATCCCAATCGTCCCTCGTGCGTACCGAAGTCTACGCTTTCTTGCGCTCGAGGTTACTGACGCCGCCGCCCTACAGCCTTCATCTTCAAGAACCAAACCGTCGCCGCCATCTTCGCCTCGACATTTCTGTCCGGCTCGACGATTCTCTGCCAACTCTACTACCTCCCGCAGTACTTCCAGGTGGTTCGCGGCGACTCGCCGACACGTTCTGGCGTCCTCATCATCCCGCAGCTCATCACGACCACAGTCTTCGTCTTCCTCTCCGGCCAGCTCGTCTCGCGGACGGGCGAGTACAAGCCCTCAATCGTCGTAGGATACGCCATCTGGGCTGTCGGTCTTGGCTTGCTCTCGACTCTCGATCAGCAGTCCTCGACAGCTCGAATCGTCGGGTACCAGCTTCTCAACGGCGCAGGCCAAGGCCAAACGCTGCAGACGTCGATGGTCGCGGCGCAGGCAGCGGTAGAGCGGAGCGAGATGTCGGTCGTGACGAGCGTCCGCAACTTCATGCGGTCGCTCGGCGGGACAGTCTTCCTGGTCGTCGCGGCGACGATCCTGTGCGTCCGCCCAATGCCATCTCTCCAAGCTCCGCTGACCCTCTCTCTTGCAGGAACAACAACTTGAGCTCGAAACTCACTCCTCTCGGCTACTCGCATTCGACTATCTCCGCCATCGTCGACGACCCCGTCGGGATCTGGCAGCCCTCCTCGCGCGATGCCAGTATTCTGTACGATCTCAGCTCGACGCAAAAGGCGCAGATCGTCGAGGCTTACGTCGTCGGCTTCAACACCGTCTTCCACGTCTTGACGGGACTGATCGGCGCAAACTTCCTCATCGCCTTGTTGCTCGTCAAGCGGCACTCGTTGCAGCGGAAGGACGAGGAGGCGCTGAAGCAGCGAGGGAAAGAGTGGATTCAGCATCGCAAGGAGAAGAAGCGAGGAGCGGGTGGGCGCAATCTAGACGAGGCGGAGAAAGGAGAGGGAGAAGAAGCGACGAAGCAGGACGAGGCGCGACGATAGACTCTCATTATCTGTATCGGTTATTCAAGGGCATACCATCGCATTCAGCTATTCAGTTCGCTACAAGCGCTTGGCCTTCTTCTTCGGTTGCGCCGGTCCGGCTGCAGCTTTCTGCAAGCGAGCGCGCCTCCTCGCCTTCTCCTCCTCCTCCTCCGCCGCCTTCGCCTTCTTCGCTGCTTCCTTCTTGCGCTCCTTCTCCGCCGCCTCGGGGTCAGTCTCTGCCGTCGGCGGAGGCGAGGCATCCGCTATGCTTTTCTGCGTTGCGGTTGGCGTGGTCGATGCATCGCGTCGCCCGCTCGGCGAGGCATGCGGGAGGTGTCGAGGTGGTCGCTGCGAGGGCGAGCGGTCCACCGAAGTGAGAAGTGGAGAGCTCGCAGGTAGCGGCTCGTCTTCGTCGGTAGCCGGCTCTTCCTCCTCGACCGATTGATCCGCCGCGGCCACGGGCTCGACTTCCTTTTTCGCCTCGGAACGGCCGTTGTGGGGTGGCACTGGCTCGTGCTGTTGCGTCTGCGAGTCGTCCCAGCCTATCCGCTCGCCCTTCGCGCCTGCATGGTCGAGCATGCGGTGCGCGAGACTCGCAACAGGCTTGATGGGCGAGACCGACTCGCGAGGCTCGAACTGCTGAGGCGGCGGTGACGGAAGTCGCGGAGAAGGGGACCGCTTGCGCTTCGGAGCTGGCGAGTTGAGAGCGGGCGAGAAAGGGCGTTGAGGGCGGTTCGGGAGGGAGAGCGTGACAGGTTCTGCGGGACAGGCAGGTCAGTCGGTAGGCGCCGAACATCACTGCGATGAACGCACGCAGGTCCTTCTCCTTCGCCCCAAGCGACCGCTGCGTCCACCTTCCCAGCAAAGCGGGACCGCCGAGACCCATGAACCGAGTCATGCTGCGGCCCTCATCCATCCTCTCTGCCTTGCCAGACGAGTCGACAGCCGACTCGATGCGCTTGAGAAGAGCTTCGTCGTCTGTCGAGGCGTCCCGGAGAAGGGCGAGGAGACTCGAGCAGACGCCCAGGAGAGGCGTAACGAGATGCGAGGCGAGTATGCTCGCTGAGCGGTTCTCGAGCGAGATGGTGAGGAAGTCAACTGTAAAGCGATCGGGGATTGTGATCTTGATGAAGTGCTGCAGGAAGAGAGGGTCAGCTTGGCCACGCTCAAGCGAATGGACCTGCCACACCTCGAAAGCCTCGTGCGAGATTTCGGCCTTCGCCGTCCCGCTCGAGACAGCGCTCAGCAAATTCTCCACCGACTCCTGCAGCAAGAGCTCGCCTTCCTCGCCTATTCCCAGCGCAACATCGCTCTGACTGTCCGCATTCGCCCGCAGAGCGTCTCCCAGTCGCTTGTTCGTCTGTCGCCGATTGAGCGTTTCAAAGTAGACGTTCTCCAGGTCTGTTGCCATGACGGCGAGAACGCCCTCCTTAGCGAGGTAGACGAGCTTGAGGAGGAGGTTGCCTTCGGAGCTGGTGAACGGCGCCCAGGGAACCGGCAGGAACTTCGGACTGATCTGCGAACGCTTTGGTATGGTCAGCCGTCGTCAACAGTTCGTACGATAGGCCCACAACGCACCTCGTCCCAGTCCATCGCGAATCCGCTGATGAGAATCGAGGAAGAAGGAGAGGGCTGCCGGACCGAGTCGTGCGAGCTGAGGGATGATGAGAGCGCTTGATACAAAGCTTCGAGTGTGCTACAGCTGTACAGCAAGGCGCACGGGCTGAGCAAGCGAGCAGGACAGGGTCAACCAACAACTCGCCCTCCCTGTCCTCCTCCCCTTCACTCGCCGGGGGCCGGCAGTCGCCGGCTGAGCGTGCAGTGTGCTATCTGGGATGTCGGAAGCTCTCTACTCCCGATGGACTCGCCGCACGCTGTCGAGACCGCGCCCTCCTCCTCGCTGACCTTGACCTCCTCTCCGAATCCGCGGACCCTCCGGATTATCCATGGAGCTCGCTCTGCTTCTCTGCTGTCTCTCTCTTCTCTCTCTGTCTCCTCCTTGTCACTCGCCGTCAACGTCCCGCGACGCCTCTCCCTTGACCTCTCCAAACGACTCGCCATGTCAACGCCAATCGTCTTCGCTTCCGCACCCTCGCGCAGTCGCAGTCTGTTCGGTGACCAGGAGCAGGACGACATGTCGAAGCTCCTTGGCCTCGCTCTCAACCAGCGCAAAAGCGCTCTCCCGTCTCGCGAGGTCGAAGGCTTGCGGAAGATGCTCGGCGGCACATCGCTCGGCGGCACCTCGCTCGGTGGAACGGGCCTCTCGGTACGTCTTCTTCGCTGTCAGCCGAACAGGGACCTTGTTCGACCCAAGAGACGAGTCCCTTTGAACGATGCGCTCCCCGACGTACTCTACCTTCCATCTCTTCTCACCGCGACTGACGCTGATCGTGCGCCCTGCAGAAGGACTGCGACTGTGGCGCCTGCCCATACTGCCGCGGTGTGATGGACGCCAGCTACGACAAGGCGCGCAGGAACCTCAGGCGCGAGGCACCAGTCGCCCCGCTGTCGGGCGCTGCGACTCCCTCGTCGTCGTATCTTCGCCGCGCGGCCGTTCCCAGCAAGTTCACGACCGACGTCCGCCCGCTCGTCGTCATTGCCATCGACGGCGTCCTCGATGCGCCGCTTCCTTACCACCTGCAAGGGTGAGTACCTCCGATCCTCTCCTGAGAAACGACATGGACTAACTCTGCTCCATTCGCAGCGGCTACGACGACGTCCTGTCGCGACCGTACCTCAGGACGTTCTTCGACTACCTCCTCTCGCGCGAGTCGCCGTACTGCTTCTGCTTCTACTCGTCCCTCCCGCGCAAGCAGGCCTTGCGCACCCTGGAGGAGCTCAACCTCCCGACGGGTGGTCCCGAGCGCGACGAGCGAGACGGATGCGTTGGACTTTTCGCCGCCGACGACACCCACCCCAACTTTGGCGGCAAGGGCATCAAGGACCTCGAAGTCATCTGGAAGGAGCTCGAGAAGGAGGAGGGCATCCGCTGGGGCGTCGAGAACACCGGTGCGTACGGCTCTAGCTTGTGCCCAGTCCACGGACTGACCAGTCTCGTACGCAGTTGTCATTACTTGGTGAGCTGCCTGTTCCTTGTCGAGCGTCACCTTCGAGCTAACCTGTGTTCCCCACAGCCGCGACGAGTTCCCTCTGCAGCCGTTCAACTACATCCTCTGCCCCGAGACCGAGTACCTCTCGTCCGTCGCTCCCGCCGACGACATTTTCCTCCTTCTCGCCATTGCCTGCCTCAAGGGTGAGCAAGCTCTTTCTCCGCTCAATCTGACTCTATGCTGAGGATGCACGGATGCCGCAGACCTCGAAACGGAGTCCAACTTTGCCGCGCACATCAAGGAGTTTGTGCGTCGCTTCTCCCCTCTCGCGACCGCTCCCTTCGGCGGCCTACTGCTCCGCACTGTGCTGATGACTGACGCTTGTGACCGGTGCAGGACTGGCACAAGCCGCAGATCTGGTCGAGCCGCGACGAGCACTCGGTCAACGAGCGCAACTCGTACCTCCTCCTCGCCGTCCGCACCTGCGCCGTCCTTCGCATCAACATTAAAGCGTTCAGGGGCAACCTTCGCAAGTCGGGTTAGGCCAAGGCGAGGCTGTCGACGGTGGTATTACCCTTCATTGTGCATTCCTCTTTGTTTGAAGGCGTCTCTTCCTTTCTTCCTCGCTTGTGAAGCGCTTCCGCCTGTCTCTCGAGAGTCTGCTGTGCGCACAAAGTTTCTCATACGCGGTACAGACTTGCAATAACCTCGACAGGCTCTCGTGCCCTCCTCTTGTTCCTCTCGCGCGCTCAAACACCCCCTCCCGCTCACGACCCGCTCGCATGGCTTGTCCGCTACCGATAGTCGACCTCGACGCCTTCCGTGCTTCGTCTGACTCGCTCGAAGCCCGCAACGAGGCTGTCAGGGCGCGTCCTCCTCCTCCTCAATCTTCCCCCACTTCCCGTGTTGACCCTCGTCTCTCGCTCACGCAGGCTGCAGAGGCCTTGATCGAGTATGGCGCGCTCATTGCGAAGGATTCGCGGGTGTCGGAGCAGGAGAACGAGCGCTTTCTCGACTTGCTGGAAGAGTACTTCGCGCAGGACGAGCAGGACTTGCGGAAGGACTTGCGGCCAGAAGTGCATTTCCAGGGTGCGCAAGGCATTCCTTTGCATGTCGCGATGCGCCCAACTGACCCAGGACTGTCGCAGTCGGCGTGACGTTGGAGAACACCGAAAAGGTGTGAGAGAGAGGCGTGAATCTCCCTTTGCTTCGCTGACGGTGCGTCTTTGACAGCCCAAGTGTCACTCCTACGACCCCTGCAAAGCCATTATTGCGTCGCTCGACCCGGAGGAACGGCCGCTTGACCTCGAGGGAGGAAAGGCTGACCCAAAGTGCCGGTGCGCACGCTTTCCTCTTCAAGTACCCATCTGCTCGTCTCGCTCACAGCGGCTCGACCCAGCTTCTTCTACCGCATGGGCGAGACGCCGCCGAGGACCGACTTTCCCTCGCTTCGGATGGAGAACGTCATTCCGTCCGCCTTCGCTTCGACCTGGCAAGAGTCGATGGACCGCTGGGGCACGCAGATTAAGCAGTCGGTCGAGGGAGTGAGCGAGATGCTCGCTGTTGGCTTGGGACTGCCGCAGGAGACGTTGCTCGAGGCGGGCAGGTACGGCTCGCATCTGCTGGCGCCGACCGCGACAGACTTGCGCAAGTACGGACGAGTAGGCGAGAGTGAGTCAGCTCTCTTGCTTCACTGCGGCCATTCGATGCTGACGAGTCCTTGTGGCAGTCTTCGCTGGCTTCCACACGGGTAATTCAGCTCCTCCTCCGCTCTCCACCCCGTCGCTGACTTTCCGCGGAGCAGACCTGAACTTCCTCACCATTCACGGTCGCTCTCGCTTTCCCGGCTTGCACATCTGGGCGCGCAATACTGGCAAGCGTATCTCGGTCAAGCTTCCGCCCGGCCACTTGCTCGTCCAGGCGGGCAAACAGCTCGAGTGCGTCCGATGCGCTCTGCGGGCGAGTACGTCGAGCTGACTTTCGGCTTACAGACACTTCACCGGCGGCCTGATCCTCGCCGGCTATCACGAAGTCGTCTGCACGCCCGCGACTCTCGCCGCTCTCGCCGCCCGCCCTTCCGACTCTCCCGCCATCCGCATCTCGTCCACCTTCTTCTGGCATCTCTCCTCCGACTATACTCTCTCGCCCAGGTCGTTTGTCGAGCACACGGTCGGGAGCGAGCTGGTGCAGCGGGAGAAGCGGAGGATTGAGGAGCGTGGAGAGACATGGGATGTCGGCCAGTACGAGGAGGGCTTGAAGGTCGGGACGCTCGTGCAGGTGTGTCTCGCTTCGTTCGTTGGTTTGTGACGAGAGAGGCATGCTGACCGCACTCCCGCAGAACGAGTTGAAAGAGATTGCGCTTCACTCGGGCGCGTAGCAGTCTCGACGTTCGCCCGATGGGCTCGACGCCGCATGCGTGGGCGTGTATGGGACGAAGCTGATGATATAGTAAACCTGTGTTGGCTGTTGCTGCTACGAAAGGCGTGCGCCGTGACCTTCTCACCGTCGCGGACTCTTCGCTGACGTTCCTTTCGCACCAGCCTCTCGCGCCGTGCCCGATCGTACACGTTCTCTGCTCTTGCATTGTCACGCCATTGCTCGCCGCAGCGCCATTCTGGTCTGCGGTCAGATCTGAACCGCTGCTGAAGAAGATCCCCTACGAACGCCGGAACCGCCATCTCGAGCGAATCACGCTCGACCGGTCAGCAGCGCAGTCGATCTCGTCGGACCCGATGTTCGCTCGTTGGGCAGTAGCAGGTCAGCAGGCGGACAAGAAGTTGCGAGCCCTGCAACTCTCGCGCATTGGCGGACACTGCGAAGGACGGCGCTCGCGACTTGGCTTCCTTGTGTGAATGCTGATGCTGGATACCGAGGTCAGGTGGAAGGGGGGAGCCGCCAGCCGACAAGGCAGATCTCCTGCGAAACGACGCTTGGCCTGCCGCTGCCCACCTCGAGCACAACGAGGCGAGGATCCGGCCGGGAACGGGGCACGCGGGCGCACGTTTGGACGATCGAGATCAGTGAAGCGGGACGAGCTTATCACTGAGTAAGCGAGACCAGCATCGAAGATTCGCTTGGGTGGAGGCAAGCCTTCCAACGGGTGGGATCGGAGCTGTCTCGATGCCGGGCTCGCGGGGGAGGATCACCTTGCAGTTGTGCTCAAGGTGCATCTGCTGCCGAGGTGACAAGCGAAGGATCTCGCGAGGAACGACCAGCGACCGTCGCCCTTGAGAAGGTCAGGCTGAGGCCCTTCTTCCTCCCTCGTCCGGGCTGCTGGCGACTTCCACTGCACTTGTGCACGGTCACAACGACGATAGATAGCGGTAGCGCCTGCACGATGCTTGATCGGACGGTTCAATCGCGAGTTAATTGTGTCCTCGCCCTTTCCTCTCGAACAGGACTGCTCTCGACGGCTCGGAGATCTGAGTCCGTTCCACATTGTCGGAGGGGTCGAGATGGCCTGTCGACCTGCACCGCTCGCCGCACATCTTCGCGCCCTTCAAAAGCCCCAAGCACTCTGCCTCCCTCTCTCTTTCTCTCTCCCGTCGCCTCGCCTGAACAGCCAGCCTACCCACATGCTCGCCATTGCACGCTGTGACTCGCCCCGACTCCCACCCAAGTCGCACCACCTCCTCGCCTCAGCCAACCCTGTTCGCACCCGCACCTCGCCGCGCCCGACGTTCGAGCCGCTCCCTCTCCCGCCCGTCCCGCAGTCCATGCACCAGCTCCAGGCGGACCAGAGCCCGTCGTCGCCGTACGCCAACATGGACGTCCCCTACTTTGACCGCCGCGAGTCGCTCGACGTCCTCGCCATGCGCGAGGCAGAGTTCCGCTCGCTCTCGGAGAACATTGCCGTCGAGGGACTCGTCGTGCGACAGCGGGAACAGGACAAGGCGTACGTCCAGAAGGCCAAGGGACTCGCTCCCACCGCCGGCGGAGGAGGCCAACCAAAGTCAGTCGCGCTTCTTCGCTTTCCCTTCCTCGCTCCCTCCTGACCCCCTCTCGCTCTCGCAGGACCTGAACGCCTTGCGCACCGTCTCTCTCTACTCTCAACGAAACACTGTAACCGCGACAGCGACGACCCTCTTCTCGATGCCGCCCTGCGCAAGCCCGCTCGGCATCCAGCCACACTTCCTCTTCTTCGTCGCCTCTTCATTCCCGCGTCGCCTCGCCCAGCGCGGCAGTCGACGCCGCATACTCATATCCACGCCACACGGCATCCGGCACGACGAGAGGACGACGATTCGTCCTCCTCGTCGATCCCATCGCGCACCCTTTCGCGCCCTCATTGTTCCCCTTACATCCGCGCTCCCGCCTTTGATGGTGTTGTATGGCTAGTTTTGACGATCTCGATATACACGGGCATGGCCACACGACGTTGGTGGTCAAGGGATTTCTTCACGACTAGAACAAGTCTTTTGCAACTCTGGCACGATACACGGTCCTTTCGCGCTTCTCGTCTCGCTCGAAAGATGCACTGCGTCGAGAGGATGCTACAAGCCGTTCTGCCCTGGCCGCAAAGCAAGTTGCAAAGTCACCAGCTCAGTCCGTCACATCCCTCTCGAGACCGTCCCTCCAGCCCGCCTCACCGCCTCACCCTTCGTCCCGCGCTCCTCCTCGCCTCGCTACGCCTCTTTCCAAGCTCGTGAGGTCCCGCGCTGGCCTTCTCGTCAGCCCCGAGCAAGCCCTTCCCTTCCTCCTCCTCGCTCGCACTGTCGCTCACACTCCCCCCGCGCCCATCCTTCCTCGCACCATCTCCCCCCTTCACAGTAGGCTCCATCGCACCCCTCAACCACTCCGGCCAAACCGGTTTCCCCCGCGCATCGAGAGGCAGAACCGCACCGGTCTCGGGATCTTGAGGGAGGGGCAGGCCATGCGAATCGAGAGGTGGGTTCACGATTGGGGTGCGGTAGAGGAGGAGGAGGAGGAGCAGTTGCGGGAGGGCAAAGAGGAGGGGGGTTAGGAGGGTTAGCTGTGTGAGGGAGCAGAGGAACGGTGAGTTGATGTGCGAAGAGAGAGCAAGGAGCGAGACGTCTCGAGCGCTTAGACTCGCTCAGAGTCGGCTGTAACGTGAGGAGGCGGAAGCGAGCGAGAGGAAGAGAAGCGGACTCACCACCCCCGGCGCGATTCTGACAAACGCCATCTTTCCCTCACACGCCACACTGCATGCCTTCTCAAACAGCTCGAGCGTCGCATAGTGCGCGAGCTTGAAGAAGATGTAGGCGAGGAAGGAGGAGGCGAAGAGGGCGGCCATCTAGCGAGCGAGTTAGGGTTAGCAGGAGAAGGAGGGGGAGGGGCAGGGGGACGCACCATGATCCAGCCTATGTCGACTTGCAGTTGGAGAGGCATCCTGCGGCTCATGCAAGTCAGCGGCGGAGGACAAGGCAGGTAGACGAGAGAGGAAGCCGGGAAGCGCACTCGCAGTTGCGCACGTCCAAGAGGAACATGTACGAGTAGCCGGCCCACATGACGCTCAACAGCGCCGCGAGCGTGTAGTGGAAGATGAGCCTGCGCTCAAGCGGTCAGCCGTCGCGAGAATCCCTTGGCGAATAGAAAGGAGAGAACGCACCACTTTTCCTCCTTGAGCACTCCCCTCGCCCATACCGCCCCCAGGATGATGCAAACGAGGTTGACAGTCGCGCCGGTCACAGCGAGCGCGAGTTGGCTGTAGACGAGGTGCTTGAGGCGTCTGTGGGCGGGCGAGGTGCGGATGCGCTGGATCTGCGCTGGGGAGAGGTGTGGAACGAAGGTCGGGTCGTCGGACATGGTGCGCCCGTCGTAGCTTTCGAGTGAGGGTAGCAATGCGCTCAAAAGTCAAGCCCAGGGTCGAGACGAGCGAGAGCAGGAGACGAGGTTCGGAGGGTCCGCGGAGGGCGAGGACGGCACAGTCGAGCTTGGGAGCAGGACGAGCATGCCCACCCGAAACTGGCTATTCAGCGAGTCGTAAGAAGGAGTCGTAGGGCGGTCGAGAGTGGCGGCAGGAGGACAAGGGAGGAGAGGTCGAGGTGATGAAGTCGTCGACAGGGGGACTCGCTCGCGCGCCTCTTCCTCACTCTCCCCTCGAATCGACCACTTGTAAGCTCGATAATCCGTCGAATATAGTCTACATACTCTTGCAGCCGCCCGCTCTCCCTGCGATGCTGTATTCGGTCACCGTGGGACTCCGAGACGATGATGCGGCCGAATGGGCTTCCTCGACCCGCTCTCACACGCTTGCAACAGCCTCACCCAGCCTGACACCGCTCTCTGACTCTGCCAATCACCCACTCGAGCACTCCCACTCAGCCAGCGAAACCACCCAGCCTTTGAACCGCACCATGTCGTCGCCTGGACAACTCGCAGGCGACCAGGTCTACCTCGGCACCTACCTCCTCGACCGCCTCGCCCAGCTCGACGTAAAGTGCCTCTTCGGCGTCCCAGGAGACGTGCGCACCCGCTTCCCCCCTCCCACGCGAGCTTATCGCACTCACTCCCTCTCGCGTCCCGCAGTTCAACCTCACCTTCCTCGACCTCGTCGAAGAGCACCCCGAAGTCCAGTGGATCGGCAACTGCAACGAGCTCAACGCAGCCTACGCAGCGGACGGATACGCGCGCGTCAAGCAGGCGCAGATCAACTCGATTCGCGAGGGCGAGCAGGCAGGGTCCAAGCCCGGTCATGCGACGACGCATGGAGGGAAGGACAAAACGCAGGGTGGCGTGAGGGGATTGGGCGCGCTGTTGACGACGTTTGGCGTGGGAGAGTTGTCGGCCGTCAACGGAATCGGTGCGTTCGCTGGGCTTCTCGTGCGGACGGAGGGATCGCGCTGCGGCATCCTGCCGTCGTTCCGTGAAGCTCAGTTCGTCACTGACACGTAATCTCCTTCCCGCAGCCGGCGCCTACTCCGAGCGCGTCCCGATCCTGCACATCGTCGGCGTCCCCTCGACCAAGCTTCAAAAGTCCAAAGCCCTCCTGCACCACACCCTCGGCAACGGCGAGTTCACCGTCTTCGAGCAAGCCTCGGCGGGCATCACTTGCGCCCGAGCGTTCCTCCAGCGCGCCGAGGAAGCGGCGCAGGAGATCGACCGCGTCCTCCTTGCTGCGCTTACCACCGCTCGTCCGGCTTATGTCACCCTCCCGACGGACTTGGTCTTCGTCCCAGTCCCGAAGAAGCGCCTCGAAGACCCGATCATCCCGATGCGCGTCGGGTTCGAGGACAAGAACGTCTTGCCGACGGGCAAGAAGGTCGAGGAGGAGGAGAAGAACAGGTTGCAGTTTGTCGTCGGCGAGATTGAGCGCTTGTGGAACGACGCAAAGGAGCCTATCATCCTTGTGAGTTTGTGCGCTTGCTCCTCTTTCTCTGCTTTTCCAGCTGGCCCGGAAGGCCTTCCCAAGGTTATTCCGCCGGAGGCGGCACTCCCTTCCACCGCAGGCGGTATGTTCTCCTGCACACTCGCGCTCACACTCTCTCCATCGTTGCGCGCAGATCGACGCCTGCGCGATCCGCTACGGAGTCGGCCACCTCGTTCGCGACCTCGTCCATGCTACGGGCGTCAAGGTGCGTTCGCATATCCTCGCTCCTTCATCATCGTTTCCAGACGGCTTCCTGACGATCTGACAACTCCTTGCCCGCAGTTCTACACGAGTGCGTCCAGTTTCGTCCCTCTCCTTCCTTCCTTCCGAGCTGACCCTCCCTCCTCTCCTCCACTCCTCTCCTCGCACCCCTCATCCTTCGCCTTTGGGCCTCTCCCCCCTCCACTTCGTCGCGCACAGCTCCCATGGGTCGCACAGCAATCGACGAAGACCCCTCGAACGGCTTCGGAGGCGTCTACGTTGGCGAGGTCACGGACCCGAAGGTCAAGGAGGTTGTTGAGAAGACCGATCTGGCCCTCATGGTGCGCGCGAGCTACGTTGCGTCCCGTCGGAGCGACTCGCTGAACGCTCGCTCCGCCCGACCTTCGCAGGTCGGCTCGCTCAAGTCCGACTTCAACACGGGCGAATTCTCCTACTCGTTCCCGACCGAACAAACCGTCGAACTCCACTCGGACCACACCCTCGTCCAATACGCGCACTACCCCTCCATCTCATTCCACCAGCTCCTCCCCGCGCTCACCAAAGTCCTCAAACACAAACCGCACGTCACGCACCCTCCGTCGGATCGTGGCTTGCAGACGCAGATTCCGGATGGAGATGCGGACAAGGTTGTGAGTCAGGCGGCGTTCTGGCCGATGATGGGCAAATTCTTCGAGGAGGGCGACATCGTCGTCGCCGAGACGGGAACGTCGTCGTTCGGCATGATCTCGACGCCGCTGCCAAAGGGGTCGACCTTCGTCTCTCAGGTGCGCTCTCGCGTAATCTCTCGCGTAATCTGGTCGGTCGCTGACGCTCCCTCTCGCGCAAAGGTCCTCTGGGGCTCGATCGGCTGGACAGGCGGCGCGACCCTCGGCGCGCTCCTCGCAGCCAAAGAGGCGCCCAAACCTCGCCGCGTCATCCTCTTCATCGGCGATGGGTCGCTCCAGCTCACGGTGCAGGAGGTCGCGACGATGGTCAGGTTGGACTTGAAGCCGATTTTGGTCGTGCTCAATAACGATGGTTACGTGCGTTCTCGAGGCTTCCCTGCGTGCTTGGTGTGACTCGCTGACTGACGCGGCGTCTCGCCTCCTTCGCTTTCTCTTTCTGCGCCGCTCTCCCCCTCGCCTCGACCTCGACCGCTCAACCGCGCAGACCATCGAGAAGAAGATCCACGGCGAGACAGCCGGCTACAACGACATCTCGTCCTGGAACTGGCAGTCCATGCTCGACTTCTTCAATGCCTACGACCAGCCGAAACCGACCCGCTCGTGGCTCGCCCCGACCCGCCGCGAGTTGGAGCGCATCCTCGCCGACGACGAGTTCCGCAAGGCCGACAGGATCCAGGTGTTGGAGGTCAAGATGGATAAGCTTGATGCGCCGGTTGCGCTTGAGAAGCAGGGCAAGCTGAGTGCCGAGTTGAATGCGGCGTGAGGCGGTGGCCGGCTTTTCTCGTTTACCATAGAGCTTTTTTGAGTCTGTCCAACGCAGTCTTCTCGCATCGTCGTGCCGTTGACCGAGAAGACGCGGCAAGAGGCAAGCGTCCGGCAAAGGGAGGATGCCAAGTTGAGGAGAACGGAGGATCAGCCTCCTCTGTGCGCCGCCTTGACGAGCGCAACAATTTGTGGCTGGCTTCTTGGTGTCATTGCAGCCTGCTGCCTGCCTCTCTACGTCAAAGTTCGCACGCTCGACGAGGAGATTAGGGCGGGAGGAACGGGTCGACTCGCTCCGCCGCTCGAGTCGGAGGCTGACGTCGTCGAGTCGGTTGTCGCGATGCAGTCGGCGAGTGCGAGCGGAATTGAGGTCGACATGAGCGAAGACGAGGAGGATGGCGGGGAGGGCGAGACGATGGACATGACTGGGGACGGGGGTTAGGGCCGTTAGGCGGTGCTCTCTTGCTCGTGTCTGCACTGCACGGATTCAGCAGCACCATCAGAGACTCTCAGACAACTCTCAGGGCTCGGGAAGCACAATGAGGAAACCCTGTAGCGTTGCAAGAGATTTCTGGCAGGAGCGGGAGAAGGCAGCGAGCAATTGTCTTTTGGCATTGCCCAGGGTCTTTGCCACGCACCTGCTCTTGTTTAAACGTCAAATGGAGTCACTGGAAGCAGATTGCAATAAGTGGAAGTCCCGCGCAAGCGGGACTTTCTGACCTTCTCCTCCTCCTCTTCCCTCTCCTCCTCCTCGCGCTTCCCAGCAAAAAGCAAAGAGCCCCAGGCCGGATTTGAACCGACGGCCTTCGCATGTCGACGTACAAGAGTATACAAGTGCGATGCGCTAACCACGGAAGATGAGGGGAGGCGTAGCAAGCTTGGACACGTTGCTGTGCTATAGGTAGCGTAGAAGCATACTTGCAGACTATGAAGCAGACATTGAGCATGTCGAGCAGCGCAAATTGAGGGCAGGAGGGTTGGCAGGAGGGAACTTGGGAAGCCAGCAGCTAACATCAAGAAAGGTGTGGCACCCTTGCCCATGGGAGGCCAAGGAGTGCAGCTGATGTTTGAGTATGCTTAATGTGACCGGCTCCTTTGCCTTTGATGGAAGCTTCACTGCCGTCACAACCCTCCTGACATCCTCCCCTCATCCCCTGCCTCTTTCCCGTCGCTAACTGCACATCATTGCTTGCACACTTGGACACCTTTGACTCTGCCCCAGTGCTTGTGCTCTACAAAACCTACCCAATGATTGGGTCTTGCCGCTGAGCAGCCAGGTGTCTGGGCAGCGGATCCGCCATTTCCTCAGGGCAGGACATCTCGATACCGCTTCTTTTGGCCCCAAAAACGATCGCTATGCTAGCCTCAAAATTGAAGACCTTGCTGATCGACAGCCAGTCCAGCAAGAGACCCTATGGAAGACCGACAGCGCCTTGATTGCGGCGACAACTGCTGTTCATGCCCTGCTGGACGCATTGTCCTTGGTGGAAGTTGGCAGAGTAGTTCTGCATGCAGATCTGCTAATGGAGCTCCAGAGTGGTGAGTTGAGCTGCAGCAGCGTTGACAAGGAACCTCGGAAGTTGAGAGGGCACTGCCAGCTTGCTGCAAACCGATCTGTACGCTTCATGGCCCTCTTCGCGCCTCAGAAAACAGCCCTTGTAGCGTA